ATGATCTGAAGCTTGTAACTGATAAAATATCTAATATCTATATCTGAAAATATTTAATTTTGATAATTATATCCAAAAGCTCTTATAACTGTTACCTTAAACATTTTAAGGATCACAGTTTGATTTCCTTTTTAAATGATACGCTTTATGCATTTTATACACTTGCCTGTCCTTGAAAAAAAAAAAAACACCACTCTCTTTACATACGAAATTTATAAGCTACCCTCGTCTATCTAAATATTACACACACCATTTGGCGTTCAATTAAATATTCGAATGCAACAAAACAAATGAACTGCTCGGTCATTGGCCAACTATGTGTTTTTCTGTGTATACGTTTCTGTGCTGTGTTGCTTCACCCGCTTAATTAATTCTGCGGCTTTGTACGTAAATAGTTATATACATATGTGCAGCGATGTAACTATTTATTACCCAGTTTTTCATTCAATTGATGTCACTGCAGAAGCGTCTGAGTCTGATAAAGACGCATTCGCTTTGCACAATTACCAAGCCAATTTGGCGAGCTTCTTAATTTGAAAGATTTATTTATAGCTCGAACGCTAAAGGCGTACATCGACACAAACAGAGAGCATTATCAAGATCTCAGGCTTTCGAATAGCTATAGATAAAGTGGTCACTGCCCACAGAGCTATGACCGTTTCGCCAAAATTAAAACGCTATGGCATAATTGAGAAACAAAGGGTCAATTAAATAGACAACAACGTTCCATTAAATTGTTAATAGCACTCACATCATCATTAACAACACCAACAACGACAAAAAGCGGTGAATTCCTGCATTTCTGTCGGGTCCTTGGTCTTTATACATTTAATACGCCTCACTAATTGTTGTTGTAATAAATCGCAAGCAAATGCAAGCATAATATATATACATCTATATTTGTTTGTTTGGGAAACTATTCATTTTCAGAGAAAAGTTGACAGAGCATACCAAAGTCAGGGCAGAGAGCCAAGCACGTCTGCGAGTGTCTAAATTCGTAATGCCTGGCCACCTACGCCCATTGCGTCTAATCAAATAAATGTTGATATCGTGAATATATATATGTGTGTGGGTATGTGGGTATATATGTTTATAGCATTTTTATCGAAAGGGGATAGCAAAAGTTTACACTTGCCGTTCATGCTTTCGCAAGCCTACATTTGGTATGCAGTAACGGACTTTTGTGGTAATAGTTTGGGGACTGGTCCAAGAAATGAATTCACAGCTCGTGTTTAATTAATTGCACATTAAATCCAATTGCATGGCAAACAATCATGCAGGTAAGCCTAAAGAACAACTTGATCGAAAAGCAAAAACAATTTGTTATATCTCACGCATTTTGGTCACTTGATACCGATTACCTCGTAAATGGTTTTCAAAACTCTCACCCGCTCCACCAGACTTTCGGCCCGGCGCGCAAACGATGCGCGTTTGTCAGCGGCAATCGCGGACATGACTTGTTCTTGGATACGGATGCACTTGGGTTTCGTGGGGCTCGATTGGTCTTATATTATTTAACTGAATGCACAGCCGGCGTAAGAGCAGCTGCAAAGAGACAAGAAGAAAGCCGCCATTTACCAATTTATCACATTTAATAATATTATTAATTGTTATCTAAATCATATGATCGATGGTATTCATAAGACTTTTATTAAGTACAAACAATATCACAAGGTTGTAAAAGTCACGCACACACACGGAAGCACATTGTCTAATGTTTAATATGTATACAAATGTTAATAGTTGTTGCCAAAAATCAAAACAATGTAAAAACACAACATATTGGCAAGCGGATGTCGACACAGCTGCAGGTACCGAAAATTTTGAAAAATATTTACAAAAATAATTTCATATTTGGCCACTGACAGCCAACAAGGTCAGTCGCGAAAGGCAAATAAGAACGACACACATATAAGTATTAAAATATGCGCACACATTAATTTTCGAAATGCAAAATATGCAAAGGGCGTAATAAAAATAATGCACTAAAATTACCGTTAAGCGAAGCACACACGAACACACAACTACATATGGGTAAAGTCAAGTCAGCTGCCTATCTCTGCATAAAAACGTAGACGATAGTTATCAATAACTGGCATTAAATGTTTGCGTAAATTGCTAATTCTGATTAAAAACTCCGTTGCCGATCGCATGCGCTTCGCACTAAGACGTTCTGCTAAAGAATACCGCCGTAGAACTGATGGCACTTTGCGGTTGTTTCCACTTTTGTAGACCACGCGAGCATAAGGCACTCAAAGAGCTATGGCAAAGAGCGCATGGAACTGAATCGTCTGCAAAGAGCAGCAGCAAAAAAAAAATGTATCAATAGATATGTATTTGATGTAGAATTTTATTTTTAAATATGCGCTTTTTGCACTCTTTATTGTTCGCCTTTTCGTGAATTGATTTATGGATTGAAATGCAAACAAGCAACAGGTAGCTTTGACGCAGTTGCCCGACCAATGAGCTTCAGTTCACGGTGCCTTCGCGTCCACTTACCAAATTTAAGTGCAGCAAATCACACATTTGCATATAAATGTGTACTTAATTATGCTAATATTACAGATAAATTGCGGAAAAGTAATGTGGTAAATAAAAAGTTGGCGTTTTTTTTTTTTGAAAACTGATGTTGATTTACAACACTCACGATGTCTATTGCCCGACCTCCACAATTTCGTTTAAACTGTTAATAACGAGTATTTGGTAATGTACAAAAAATTTTGACTGTTAGCCAACACTCATATCTGCACCGCTGTAATCGACCGACCACCACAATATATCGTCCGAGCAAATGTTGTGAGAAGTACTTTGAAGACAGTTAAATTGTATTTAAAATTGTTATAAAGCTTTGGCAAAAACGGCATCGAATTGACGAACAAAAATGGCAACTCGCGGCGGTCCAATGGTCGCGGGAACCGATGGCAATGACTTCGAGTTTAGACAGAAAGTGGCAAACACATATCAAATTAGGTTAATAACACTTTCTAAATCTCCACAAAATTATCTAATTACTTGCAAGTAGCTACGCCTGCACTGCCAAAAGGTCATGCCATCGCAATCGACTGCAATCAAGTTGCAACTCCTGCTACAGAAGGTGCACGAGCCAGACAAACAGTCAGTCAGCCAGCCAGCCAGCCAGTGCCAGCAGAGTGGGTGGGCAAAGTGCCAGCTAGACACTCAGCATGTGTGCCTGTTTACAATAGCAACAACAACATTGTCATTGTTTGTGTACATATTTTGGATAGCTTAAGGCCGAGGGCTACCAAGCAGAAGGAAACCCAACTAACAAGTCAAACTACTACAACTGCAAGATACATTTTCTTCTATTTGCAGCTTGTTGAACAAATCGCGTCTGAAGTACTGCATTTTCTTTCATGCCCTGCTGTTCTTTGTCATGCTGGCCAAGCTAACGTCTGACATATTGGATCGCTTGGATATATTTGTGCTAGAAATCGAAGAGTTGGAGGTGCCGCAGCCACTGTGGTGGGAATACGTTTGGGCTGCCTCGCTGCTCACATCGTTTCTGGGCCTTTCAGCGGCACGTGGCAACAAGGTCCGCGATATGCAAAAGTATATGATTGCCATTTTGATAATGGCTGTGCTCCCGCTGCTCTACTGTTTCGCCTATTACTTTTCCGACGTTTGGGAGTTTTTGACCATGGACAAAGCCTTGGAGCTGGACGAAACGGACATTTTCGTATGGCGCGTAAGTCAAATGTAAAATGAAAAAAAAAAACGAATCAAATTAACAATTTGTTGCTTCTGTTTCAGGGATTTCCCTATGGTGTATTTTGGTATGCCTTTTGTTTCGTGGGCTTTCAGATTCATGGGTTCACACTTTACTTTGCGTACAATCTAGTCAAGGCCTGGAAGGCGCGATCATCCACACGTAAATTTCAGTAAATCAATAGAGTCGTGAAAATACTACTAAATACTCGCCAAATTAGTGAAACGTCAAAGCAAGATGCTGTAGGGCTAGTTGTAAATAATTTGAAAAAAAAAAAACTTAAAACTATCTCTCTAGTGCACAAAAGCAAAACAGAAATAATAATAAATCACACATTTTAAATAATCAGACATAATATTTTCAGAAAGAATAAATTACCAACGTTATAGTTATTGTTAAAGTTAAAACGTTCAAGCGTTACATACTACATTAAAAAAAAAGTAAATCTATAAACAATTATCCATATACATACGATACACATGCAACCTTATAAAGTCGAGTCGACAACAAAGCAACTGAAGCCACCAAATTTCCCAAGTCAATAAGGAAACAAAACGATAATAACAAGATGTAAACTTAATATTCTCTTTTGTGGTCTACTTACATTTCGACGTGCCTCGTGTTTGTTAGAAACGGCTAATATACTTATTAAATACTTATTAATGTATGTCTATATTGATACATATATGATGAATGAGTACATTTGAAACTATTAGTTTTAAAACAATTTTCAAATGGTTTTTATTGCGTTTTGTTTTTCATTATTTTAACTACATAATTTGAAATGCACAATCATTCAATATATTTGTGTGTTTGTGGATAAATTTTTTGTAAACTGCCCAAAATATTTTACGATTACAGTTATTTATTTAATTGAAATTTTGAGTGTTTAAGCAAAGTTCAAGTTTTGATCATACAACATTTTTATAAGATAAAATGTGAAACATTTATAAAAAGTTTCACCAATTACAAACTGGTTTTTGAATGGTCATTTACTATCAGAATTTATAAGTAGTTTTTTAAAAATCGATCAATAAAAATAAAATATGTTTGTTCTTCTGAGTGGGTTAAAAAATAACTAAAAACCTTATTTAAATGGTGGGCCCAGCAAATAATCTTTAAACGTAATGATAGACGGAGAGAGCAAGAAAAATTGGTAATATGTATAAAAATATAGGAGAAGTTCAAGGGCATCATGTGTATGGAGTCTCGCACTATAAATTAAAATGTTATTCACTTTAAGTATGCAACACAACATTTTAAAATGTACATTCAATGCAGCACTCTTTTGCATGCTAAGAGAGAACATAAGAGAACATGCAACATTGTTGCCTTTATATATCAAAGAGCAGATAAATCAAATTGGTCTTATCTCTTAAGGAACGCCAGCTGTAAACGGCGTAGAATGCATACCATAATGCACACATAAGCATCCCCCAATTTTCACCATTTTCACCAGCTGACTTTGGGCCTAACATTCAATGCGGCTGACCAACAACGTTGCGCCCAGTTAGTGACCATTTGTGCAGCGTGCCGTGAAGAGGGCCGCCAAAGGGCAACAGCGTCGCAACGCTGCACTTTTAAAGTTGCGCAATTCCACCAGCTGAGAGAAGAGAGCCACGAAGAGAGTGTTTAGCGCGTGAGAGCACGGCTGCTGTCATACAGCATCAGCAACTACCGTCTCAGTTAGCTCACAGCTCATTTTGACAATGCCTGTGGGAGGAGCAGACGCAAAATTTGTTCGACACTCATATTTTGGCAAAAATAAACAAGTGAATTTCTGAAAACAAAAAAAAATAAATAAAAATTAATAGTAAAATTTGGAATATTTGTTTTGGTAATACGTGAAATTGAAGTACAAGGATGCGCGGCGAGGAGACCTACAGACGCACCACACGCGAAAAGATTGTGCTACGTGGCAATACAGCCATACGCACCGTGGACTCCACATCCACCTATTTGCCTATGATGGGCGCAGGGTAAGTAAGGTAGCAGCAGCAATAGGCATACATTTTTCTATGAAGCGCCTTTTGTAGGCGTGCCAGGCCCCTTCAACGTGCCTTGACTGGTAAAAGCCAAGTGCATATTTTTTCCCTCAATGCGTATCGATTTTTATCTCGCTCAGCTGATTTGTCTATAAGTATATATATACTAAATAAAAATGTCCTTCGTTTGATGGATTTGCAACAGAGCTCATGTTAAATATTAGACAAGACACTCCAGGCCGTATATACTATTTATAATTTACATATATACAAAATAATTGTTTATGATATGCTAAGGTTTAGTTTGCAATTCAAGCCGCATGCAAGCGCGCCATTAAAGCCGGCAAAAATAAACGCCTAATTATTAAGAATGTATTGTAATACATTAAAATACGAGTGTGTGCGTATATATATATGTGTGTTCACTTATGTATATACCTTAGCTGGTAGCAGAAATCGATGGCATCTTTTGCTTGAGTTTGAGTCAACTTGGGTTAGCGTGCATTGACCACTGGACTCAGGTGTAGGCACTAAATGAGCAACAACAACTCAAAGCAATACTTCCTTTAACCTCATTTCACATTCACACATACAAAAAATACCCAGAAACTACCCGCCATGCAAATAATGAGCTCGCTTTCTGTTGTGGACGCGTCCGTCGTCCAGTTATGTGGTCAGTTGGCGGACAACCCTTGAGTCGCTAGGTAGATGCCGACTCGCGACGCGTTGCACTACATCGTATTGTTTCCGAATAATCCGTCAAGCTTTAGTACATATTGAGTAAATTTCAGTGTGTTTTTAAATTGTACGTGAATATTGCCAAGTCTTTGTTGCTGCAGCCGGCAACAATGTTTAACACGAATGCACAAAACTGGTTTGGCATGGGCCAATCAGTTGCTGGACCTCCTCCAACTGGCGGAAACGTTGCTCAACAAACGTTGCTGAACAACAACAATGGTACACAATCGTTTATGCGTCAACGTACGCTGACCAGCTCCAATCCAGCGCTGGAACGCACCGCTTTAGCAGTGCGTCCGCAATCTCCGCCCAATGTTCAGGTGGAATATGAAGTGGCCGTGCCCTTTATGTCTGGCTATAGACACACGCCATATCATTCGCTATGGGATCTGCATCAGTGGTAATTATGCGCAAAAAAAAGTGGCCATGCCCCTTATGTCGTTCATTTTGGGATCTGCAAAAAATGTGTATTATATCGCAGGCCTTATCTTTCAAATCAAAGAGACCTTTAACATTAACAATTCGATCCATTTGAAGTTTATTTGAAAAACACACTCGTTTATTTAAGCACATAACATTTTAATACAAGTTAAAAACAAATTATAAGAGAAGTGCATGCTAACCAACAAGTTGGAATATTTACTTAATTATTTAGTGTTCATAGTTCACGAAATTTGCCATCTATTAAAATTTAGAGTAATTTGAGTACACGTTAAATTTTCATAAGAAATTGTTTCGGTATAAGACGTAAGTCTCCCAGTCCTTAGCCTACTATCAGACGATTTCCGACCACTTGACGTTTTTGCTAGTCATAATTGTTATTAGTTGATATTTGCATAAATTGACGGCTCTTTGGGTCTGCTTTCTGGGTAACTAAAAATTAACATAAACACCTTTTTCAGTGACATGCATTTGCACGGACAAGCTTTTTAAAACAAAGAATAGGGAAAGAGAGACAGAGAGGGGGGAACTGACTGAGCTATCCATTCATCTAGATTCCTGTTTTTGTCAGTTATTTTCCTCGACAGCCTTGTGCCAGTTTGCCCATCAATCAAGCGTGCTATTTATATGGTTTTATACACAGTTTCTAAGCGCGCCATAGATATAGGGCCAGAGTCAATAAATATATAGACCAAATAGGCGGATCAGACGTTTTAATGACTCTGCAAGCGCAAAAGTTGGCCCAGTTAGCCGCTAATCACACAAATCTCTGGCTCCGAAACGTGGGTGCCTGTTAGCTACCATATCAGAAACATTAACCCAATTGTTTATGTGCGCGCAATGAGACCACATCCGGTCTGTGGCTGCCCAAGAAATATGGCCGACTGCGGCCAACTTAATTAACTAAGACGAAAAACGTAATAGAAAATACTGTAGCATACTTTTGAGCGTGTGGGCATTTTTTGATAAAGGCAGCATTCAAACTAAACGGCAATTGCACTATTATAGCAAAATATTCATGTAAATGAATTACCGTTAATCACGATGACGCATGTGAATGTTAACAATAACAATAGTCGCCGGCACGTCAATAACCTGGGCGGTATTTCAGCGCCCAAGTTTATTGAACCCACAACTGTTTTGCATATGTATGTATGGGTATGACAGGTGCGCGCATTAGCCACACGAACTTTGGCTTTCTAGAAATACATGACATGCACTATCTGTGCATGTGTTTGTGCCCACTTAAATGTTGTGGAACTAGACAAACATTGGCCAGACTAGAAACGGCGCACGCAAGGGACTTGTCGCCAGCTGATAAGCCTGGCAAATTGACCTTTGCTGGGCTTTGGGCCAAGTTGAATGTGCAGGGCCAATGGCAAGCAGCATTAATCATGGCCCAATGTTTCTTATCATTTTTGCAGCTCATCGACGCCACCCGCAAGCTTATCGCATATGGCGCGCATGATGGACTCATTAATCTTGGATTCGCTGTCACCGTTTGCCTTCACCAAAATCACCACCACCAGCCGGCCCACGCGTAATAGCAATGCGGTGAAGAAGCCGCCGGCAGAAATCGTGCATCCACATCAGCATCCACAGGCCGCCCCCGTAAATCCACATCGGCCCGTCAACAATCTAGGACCCAATGCACCCAATGGCTTGGGCATTGGCGGTGCGCTGCCGTTGCGCAATAAGCAGCGGTTGCCCACACAAGGTTTGTGCCTCAAATGTTTATTTGATCGCTCACCCAACAATTAAACGCAGTCTACGATACAGAGGTAGCCCCGCAGCCACGTACCAGCCAGACTGCAATGCCGTTTCCCTCACAGCAACAGCAGGACAGTCGCTGGGTGTCCTCGTTGCGGCGACGCGATCCCGAGCTGCAGCCAACGCTCCCCTCCATTAGCAGCAATTTGAATAGCAACAGTCTGAGCCAGAGCCATCATGGCAGCGCTGGCAATGTGGGCATAGCAGCGAGCAGCACGGCCAGCAATGCCGGGGTCGGTTTGCGTTTGAGTCGCCCAGGCAGAGCTTCCGCGCTGACAGCAGCTGTGCGCAAGAGTCGGTCCGTGGAACGTTTGCGGGCCCGCAAACTGAGTACCAATACACAGCTGACACTGAAACAAAGGGCGGTAAAAAAGAATTCTTTGGATGAGAACTCGAATTCGGATGATCAGGATGCGACCACATCGCTGGAGGATAATTCGCATACACAATCTACCACGCACAATACACCAAGATGTTCGCCCAAGACAAAAGTCAAGCATTTCTCACCGTTGGGCTATGAGGGACACCTCGTTGATACGCTGGAGAAGGACATACTGCAACGGCATCCATGCATCAAATGGACCGAGGTAGCTGGTCTCAATGAGGCTAAGACCATATTACAGGTAATATTATTGTAACCATGAATCATTTTCAGTTTATTTTGCATTGTTTTACTCTAGGAAGCTGTGGTGCTGCCCAATATAATGCCCGAATTCTTTAAGGGCATACGTCGTCCGTGGCGCGGAGTGCTTATGGTGGGTCCACCAGGCACGGGCAAAACCTTGTTGGCTAAGGCCGTGGCCACTGAATGCGGCACAACATTCTTCAATGTTTCCTCATCCACGCTTACATCCAAATACCGCGGAGAGAGCGAGAAGCTGGTGCGTCTGCTCTTTGAGATGGCGCGCTTCTATGCCCCTAGCACCATATTTATTGATGAAATCGACGCTCTGTGCGCCTCACGCGGCAGCGACTCCGAGCACGAGGCTAGCCGGCGTTTCAAGGCGGAGTTGCTTATCCAAATGGATGGCCTTAATGCTAGCTTGCAGGATGACAAGGTCATCATGGTGCTGGCAGCCACAAATCATCCCTGGGACATTGACGAGGCTTTTCGACGGCGCTTCGAGAAACGCATCTATATACCGCTGCCCAATGGTGCGTGGCCTAAACTTACCTCATCCAGACATATTCTAATGTGATTTTCATTTAACAGAGGAAACACGTGCAGCACTGCTAAAGCTCTGCCTTAAGGATGTATCGCTGTCGTCTGATCTCAATACGAGCATGATTGGTGATGAGTTGCAAGGATATTCCGGCTCGGACATAAGCAATGTTTGCCGCGATGCCTCCATGATGGCAATGCGTCGCCTCATCTCTGGCCGCACGCCGCAACAAATCAAGCAAATACGCCGCGAGGATGTGGACCAGCCCATCACACTACAGGATTTTCAGGATGCTCAGCAGCGCACCAAAAAATCCGTTTCGGCTGACGATGTGGCACGTTTCGAGAAATGGATGGAGGAGTACGGGTCCTGCTAGTTATACGAACTATGTGCTAGCGCAGCACAAAATCTATAAAATCCCCGTATATTTACACCCATACGTATGTGTACTTCCAATACGCAAACTTTTTTTAATTCTTGTAAAAACAATACATATATGTATCGATATATAATTATAAAAAATGTTTCCTGTGTTTAATTGCTCAAGAGCACACACGCTTCACATTTTGCTCTACACACAGATATACACACACAACGGTATTTTTTAATACACATTTATTCGACAGAATCCTACTGTAGGCTTATAGCAACAAATTGTATTTTGTAATCAACATATTTAGAACGGAAAATGTAATAAATTAATCAACACCCAGCGGTCTTTTTTTGTATATGTTATAGATCTAGGCCCGTAGCTTATCAATAGTATTCTTGTAATCCTGTTCAATGAGCACATACTCCTCCTGCAGCTGTTCCATGCGCTGTTTCGTATTGGGCAAACGTGCGCGCAGCATTTCTGTGTCCATTTTATAGCGTTCCATCTTTTGTAGATCTTTTATCTGTTTATAGTAAACGGCGTTGAGGCGCTTCTTAACTTCTAGACGGTACACTTTATACTCCTTTTCGTCATGCACGTTGGTGTAGTAGAGCCGCAGCAATTCATAAATTTTTCGCACCTGACGCGGGTTAAGCTTCAATGCCTCACGTGCCTCCCGTACCATTTCCTTATTGAAACCCTTTTTGATTTCGTCGCGTGCAAAGCTTTTAAGCTCCAAACACAAACGTGCATCCACAAAATTTCGCAATCTCTGAAAGTCCTCTGATGGATCCTCAACGGTTATGTCTACCACATTTTTCTGGCTCTGGTAGAACTTGTAGATTGTTTCCACTAGTTGGGTGGCCAGACCCAGTTTCTGGAATGGTGGCAAAATTAGCATTTGGCTGATGCGCGGCCGCTTGTTTTGCGGATAGGCGTAATATTCATAAACGGTTGTGTAGCCAGCAGTTGCATACTGGTACTGTCCATCCTTATTCTTGTATTTCTCATAGCTACAATAAACTAGTCTTAAAAGAGGCATAATATATATATAAAAATCTACTTACCAGATGAAGTAACACCACTGGGCGTCGTCGGTGTCTATATAGGAGGCAGCGTCGACAAACCACAATATAAACGTTTGCAGACGCGCAAAGAACTTTAAAAATGATGACATCTTATAGTCGCACTGATATATCTCAAAGAGCCGCTCACTGCCATCATCAGCAGTCCGAGTGTACTCGCTGAGCTTCTCGCCAAATGGCTGGAACTTGTCAGCCTTGTCCAGCGTTTTGAGAAATTCATCTAGGTTAATGAAATAGCAGCCGTCTGGCAGGCTTTGCGCAATGGTGGCCACCACATCATCGGCTTTAATTTCACCACCAGAGATTTCATTGACACGCTTCTCGTACTCAATGCCCAGATAGATGTGCAGCGGACCGGCCGTGTACAGGACGCGCACGTGTAAGCCCTGATACCCAAATATGGTCTCCGACTCACCAAATATTTGGTGCGCCATGGCGGGATGAAATATAATGGCATCATTGTTGATGTCCGCCTTGTCGCGTACTGCAAGTAAGCAGACGAAAGTTAATACCATAATTGAAGACCGACATAACAGTTGCACTTACTCAGCTTGAACTCGACCGTATCGAGTGCGTCTAGCACCAGATCCTGATATTCCTGTATTTGTGCCATTTTGGTGCTTGTCTTTCGGCTGCCCCTCGAATTGGCGCGCAAAATGTGATTGTAGTTGTAGCGTTGAAACAGCAAACGCTTGCGACACTGTGCAAGGAGTTAATTACGAATAGCGCAACGTAGTTTCTTGGCATAAAAACAATTTACACACGCTTTTCATAAAACAATCGACTAATTTAGTGTATTTTAGCGAATTTTTTCGCGGCTTAACAAAGGCTAAATCGCAAGTGTTGTGCAGTGTAGCTAAAATGCAGCACCAGGGATGCACAACTTACCGTACGTTTGCGCGATTTGCTTTTTTTGCTCTTTTTTCGTCGCAGCCGTGTTCTTTTACCAGTTGTCATTCTATAAACCCAAATTGCAAATTTTGTACTTTTTAGATGTTTAACAAATTTTTTTAATCAATCTAGTTTTGATGTTAGTTTCAATTTGAAAATGCATTGTTTGTCAGACACTGCTCAACACTGATTTCACGCGCAGCTAACTTAACATCATTTGTAAGCAAATTTCTGCAGAGTTTTAATCGAAATTCACCGCATTTATTTGCTAGTGCCCGAAAAAATAGTATATCAATAACAGCAACCGCAAATAGGGCGGCAAATAGTTAAGTTCACTTTATTTAACATCAAGAAATACGCTTCGAGACAGTTCAACGTAACAAAATGTGAGTAGCGGCGCTGCCAAAAGTTGCCTTGTCATACTACCGAATTACAACAACAACAACATCAACAAAAATTCTATAACTATAATATATTTTTCGATTTTGCAGCTAAACATGGATAACTATTTGTTTGATGGCGGTCGCATTACAAAAATGGAGGTGGATTATGAGCCCGCCTGTGATGAGAAAATTCCCCTAGCCAAGGAGCTGGCCAAAAAAAATCCTGACGCCTTTCATGAAGCCATCGAAATTATGCTTCAGCTGGAGAAACAAACACGTCTGGGCGCTGATATGGTATCTTGTTCACGTGTGCTTGTGGCCATCTGCCAGATATGCCTCCAGACAAGCAACTGGAATGCATTGAACGAGTACGTCTCACTGCTAGTGCGTCGCCGTTCGCAACTTAAGCAGGCCGTGGTCAAGATGATTCAGGAATGCTGCACATATGTGGACAAAACGCCCGATAAGGAGAGCAAGCTGAAGCTGATAGATACGCTGCGTTCCGTTACCGAAGGCAAAATATACGTAGAAATTGAACGTGCACGCTTAACTAAAATCTTGGCGGACATTAAGGAAGCCGATGGCGATGTGGTTGGTGCTGCAGCGGTCATGGAAGAGCTGCAAGTGGAGACCTATGGCTCCATGGACAAGCGTGAGAAGGTCGAGCTCATATTGGAGCAAATGCGTCTGTGTCTCTTGAAGGAGGATTACGTGTCCACTCAGATAATTTCCAAGAAAATAAGCATAAAATTCTTTGATGATCCGGCACAACATGATCTCAAGTTAAAATTCTATAACCTGATGATACAACTTAATCGAGACACATCCTTCTTAAATACATCGCGTCATTATCAAGCTATTGCAGAGCCGCCGCGAAAAAAGGCCCCAGAAACCGATGAGTCATCCACTGGAGATGAGAAGAAAAAGAGTGAGGATAAAAAAACAAAAGAAGAGGATGATAAGAAGTCGGAACCCGCTACTGCACTAGAGCCTGAGATAGAACTGACAGATGCCCAGAAAAAGGAGCTTACAGATAAGCTGGTCTGCGCTGTGATTTACTGCGTATTGGCCCCCTATGACAACGAGCAGAGCGATATGATGGCGCATCTATCAAAGAACAAGAAACTGGAGGATGTTCCCGCCTATAAGTAAAACATTCATGCCATATGCCCAATTCATATGACTTAATTATTCTCGTATTTTAACAGGGAAATACTGCGTCTGTTCATGTCAAAGGAGCTTATAAACTTCGATACGTTTAATGCAGATTTTGGCATGATTCTGGCCGAAAACGATATGTTCAAGGATAACACCAAGCATGGCAAGAAGTGCATCACTGAGCTGAAAGACCGCTTGATAGAACACGTAAGTTTTAGACAAAGTACTTAAATAAATTAATTCTAATTTAAACATTTTTGTTAAGAATATACGCATCATAGCGATGTATTATTCCCGATTGCACTTGACACGTATGAGTGAGCTGCTAAATTTGCCCACAAATCGCTGTGAGGAGTATCTGTCCAAGTTGGCCAACAGTGATACAATACGTGTTAAGATCGATAGGCCTGCTGGCATTGTATATTTTACAACAAAGAAGAGTGCTTCGGATATATTGAACAACTGGGCAACCGATGTGAATCAGCTGATGTCCCTGGTCAACAAAACCTGTCATTTGATCAACAAGGAAGAATGCGTCTACTCAGTTATGTGTGCTGTCGAGGATTAGTAGCATTTTAGGTTTATTGTGTTTTCTTATTGAAACGTCTGCCCATATACATACACTTATTGTAATACTAACCAACTACAAATTTATTATTTTGCAAAAGTTTGTATTCATTGAATGAACTACAATAATTAAAACCAAACTCAACATACACATTGCAAGGTGTGTTCTTTCGATAATTTAAATGCTTGCAACGATTATTCTCCACATTTGGTATCGGTTTGCCGGCATTAACCTGATGACTATCGACATATATCGATCAATCAATAAAAATGCAACTACTACAACCCTAGTTGACCTTTTGGTATTTTGTTTGCTACTAGCTAGCAAGAAGAAGAAAAAGCCTTTAGTATCGATTTCTATTTTGCCTGCATATTAAAACGAATTAATTTCTTGAAATTATAAAAATGCCAAAGGCTGACTGTAAATACTGGGACAAATGCTACCAGCGTAATGAAGCCCATCTAGAAAAATATAATCACCCACCAAAGCAAACTGAAGCGCCAAAAATGGCGCCAAAACGCAAAGCAACTGACACGGAGGAAGACAAAGGTAGTCCGAACACAATCGGCAGCATGGAAACACCGGAGGTAGATGCGGAAGAGCCTGTTGGCAACTATGAGTCGGAGACGGCGAAGCTGCAGAAGGAGGCAATGAACAATATTGCCGGCAAAAATTTTATGGAAATACTGGAAAAGCGCATACGTTTGTCGGTGCAACAGGAGTATGATAGTCTTTGTGAGAGCAATGAATTTATAAGACATAAATTTCTAGTGGAAATGCCAGAAGACTTCTATGAATTCTGGAAATTCATAAACACGCTTAAGAAGGATACCACCAAAGCGGCTGCACTGCAGCACATAGAAACGGTGTTCCAGCTAGAGCTTGTGGGTCCATTTGAATTTCTGGCTGGTAAATTCCATAAGGCAAAAATCGGTGAACCGGGCGATTACCTGCGGCACTGGCGCTTCTATTATGATCCACCCGAATTCCAAACAGTTTTTGTGCGTCAAGGCACGGGCATACACTACGGTTACTGGCGCGATGTACCACAGGACAAGGAGCGCCTGATGTTGGCGCGCAATGACGCCACAAGCAGCTGTGAGTTTCAATTTGTGGCTGGCAACATATTTGATGCGTTTCTCCACTACTTGCAACATGACTATGTGGGTACACCATTTACAGCAGCCCAAGTCGCTGCCACCAAGAAAGCGGTGAAGCAGTACATCAGTGATAACTCGCTGGAATTGGCCCAGCTCGACAGCTTAAAGAATGAGCGCGATAAGCGGGTGCTGGCCAAAACGTTTCATCGGGCTGGCATTGTGGTGCCCTATGAGCGCAAGTCTCAGCAGGGGTATCGGCCGCTAATGGTTAGCGATGCAGAGCTAAAGAAAATCTTGGCTCTATTTGAACGTAAAGATCTCAAAGATGACAGCGATAATGCCAAGCAGGCTGTGTTGGAGAAATTACAGCCGGTCGCCAATGCAGCTAATATTGCTATGGATGAATGCGATTTTGGCACAGCCTTAGAGTTGGGCCTCGACTTGTTTAGCAGTGGTCACAAGGAGCTGCATATGCTGATCTCTTCGCTGCTCGTGCCCGCATATTCGCTGCTCTCACGACCACAATTCATAGCCATTGCCAAGGCGCACCTGGATCAGCGCAGCAAGGAGATCAATTTGAGCATATTTGAAGTATTAAAATAAGTTAAATTTCATTACAAATGAATTGTGTGGTTTTTTTCTTGCAACCGCAACCTTTAATTAAAATATAAACAGCCACCTTAGCTTATGTTAACTATTTTTACATATACAAGTAGGAGGTATCCTTGGCTGGTGGAATATAGCGTTCGGTGCACGGTACGCCAAGCTTCTGCATCAGCTTGAGCACTGGCTGAGCAGCAATTACATCCAATGGCAGCTTGTCAGTGTAAATAACATAAGAGCTGGCCGGCAACTCCATCTGATTGCGCCAGCTCGCAACTAAAGGAAGCAAAGTAATGTATACATTAATATACAAGCTGATATGGGTGGGCTTTGTTCGTTAAGGTTTTGTTTTCCTGAAAACTTACTGCCTGCTGCTACGCCAGCTATAAAGTTGGGTGCCTCGAGCTCGGTCACAGCTTTATCGTCTCCTTTGCCCCCCACGCTATGCACTATGGCCACGTGCCCACTGTATCTGCCAATCACCTCACTTTTGTATTCTATCTTGGGCTTTATGGTGATGGTCAGCACGCGTTTAGCCAACTGTGCATAAGGTATAAGCAGCTCAGTGACTTCGCCACTGCTAGTCAGATCCTCTTCCAGTGCGGCCAGCAATTGTCCCTTTGAAGCGTTCCAGTGCAAAGATGAAGTTTTTGCTGGTATATCGCAAATGGGTTTTGCATCCTGGAGCAGCGCACCACTGCAGAATTCTTTAATGTGCGGTCCTTCGACGAGTACGAACAGGTCGCTGGCGAATGGTGATTCGTCCGCACCAACAGCAAATTTCAGCTGCGACCTGTTGAAATATTATTTTCTATTGGAGAAGGCACGTTACAAACAAAAACTGCACTCTCACTTTGTGGCCGGCTCAATGCTATCGAATTCGTCTTCCTCGCAATCATCCCAGAAGGCCCGGGAAGAGGGTATGTTTACTTCACCAAAGCCCGGACAGCTCATTGTGTGTTGTATGGAAAAAGGTCTTTATTGAAAAACAAGAAAACGTAGCCGCTTGTGTTAATTTGTTCAAGTCATTTTCAAAAGTATCGAGTGGAATACCTTGATGCTGCTCTTCAATAGTATTTTAAAGTAGCAAGTCACAGTACTGTTATAACAGACACCGCTTTTGTTTTATTTATTAGCTTCATTTATAATTTTTTAACGATTGCTCTTTATATCAATATCGGACTTATCAAATTTACATTTTACTAACACATGTTAGGTATAATTTTGATAATCACGCAAAAACTTCTGATATTTAAAAGTGTTTGTCACTGTCCCATGAAACCGATAGTATCGCTCACAACTTGAATCGAGTATAATCGGTGCTGCCATACCAACACGTAAGGCGATAATTTACGTTAGCAAACGTTGTTATCGATGCTTTTTACGTCCTTACTGGAAGTTCGCACAAATTGATTTTTCTCCTAAAATAACAATAGCGCCACTGTAGTGGGAACAACTACTTATACGACAAACTAAACCAAGCGAGCAGTTTAAAAAAGACGACTAACGAAAATGACAACAATGCAGGTTGACCAGGTAATTGTGATTCCATTGAATTATTGTAACTACACATACGCAACAAATTCCGCCATCATGAAAAAAAAACCCAAAACTGCATTAAATTACAGAAACGTGCTCTAATCAAGCTAAAGCACGACCTGGAACCATTCCGCAATGCCATTGTGGGTGCCTACGGCGTTCTTACATGGGAAAAGCAATACTATGCCGGCGTCGTCTTTGGCGCCATCAGTATCATGTATCTGTTGCTATGGTACATGGATCTATCTTTTATAACACTATTCTCTTTGTTGGCTTTATTGGCGTTCTTTATGGACTTTGTTATTCCAATGCTGTCGCGTTTGGTTTCCAGCGGGGACAAATGGGATGGTGAGCAAGAGGCCAAGTTTGAGGAAGTTTGCGGACAGCTATATAGCATTAAGTCAGGTATTGTCGAATGGTATGATTACCTGTTCAAGGAGCGCAAGCCAACAATGGTAAGTATAAACATATAAAACAATGACAGCTGTATGGATACAACCTTTTCCTGATTTCAATAGGTTGTGATCATAATAAGCATCGGCTTGTTGGCTCTGGCCTGGATTGGTGCTATCATAAACAATCTATTGCTCATGTATTGTGCAACTGTGCTAGTGGCCATGTGGCCGGGCTTGAATGAAAAGGATGTGTTCAAGGGCCTCACCCAGAAAGTCTCTAAAATAATCAATGAAAAAATTCAATATGGCAAAAAGAAACTACAGTAGATGGTTAATTATTTATTAAATTATATTATGGATTACTAAATAAAACTCATCAGGCACACACACAATCCATCACATTCGACCAAAAATGCATATATATTTATAACTAAGTCATTTACTTGCCATCTCGTACACCCTTATCAATAAATTTAGTCTATCATAAAAGCTAAGTATACTTTGCGCATAATGAAAGTATTATCATTCACATAAATAGCTAAAAACAATGATTTAAACATAAGATATTTTGGAAACCTATACATAGCTGCATTTCTAACTTTAAGTTTGTATGGGCCCTCGAAGATTCTCAAAGAAAAGACATTTTTGTGATTATTTGTGAGTTAATTGAAATTTAATGTAATCCTGCATAGGTATGCACGCTTAGGCGTCTAATAATGATACATAAATGTTTAAAATAAAGTTTTGAAGTGAATCAACAATTGAGTCACCCGACTTCTTTCATTGTACTACCTGGCACGACACTCGCGTGATCGTGAGCGTGTGCGGGAACGTGCATGTTTACTTTTCTTCGTCTTCTTTTTGTGCTTACTTGGATGACGACGTCGCGCACGTTCATCTGCGCTGCTGTCGCTGTCCTCACTGCTGATCGAGGAGCGATTTTGCCGATGCGATTTACCTTTTGTTTTCTTTGACTTCCTTTTCTTGGATTTGTTTCGGCTGCTGCCACTTTTGGACTTTTTGTTTTTGCGCTCGTATGCCGAATCGGAATCACTTTCTGTTGATTCACCCGTATCCTCGGCTTCGTCAGAGCTGCTTTGCTGTCGCCGCCGACTGCTCAATTTTGATGAACTGCTGCTGGGGCGTGAATCTTGACCATGTTCATGGTAACGACTACTGCTTCTGCTTTCATCTCTGGCCCGCTCTTCCGCCTTGTAAGGTTTGCGTTCCTCTCGCCTATATGATGTGCTGCACTCTTCTTTGTAGTCTCTGCTCTCAGCTCGTCGTTCTTCAGGCTTGACACTGCGCTGCTCGATTTTATATGGCTTCCGTTCTTCGTCCTTTGCTCTATGCAATCTGCGCTCCTCCTCACGTTGTCTTTCCCGACGTTCTGTTTTGACACTAGCTCGCTCCGTTGACTTTTCCCGCTTGATAATTATTTGGCCATGCTCGTTTTCCTGCTTCTTAAACTCCTCGTACTTGGCCGTATCTGTAAGCAATTGCAACTATTATTTACCTTTCACTTAGTCTGCTCTTTAAATATTTCTGGTTGCCACTTACTTATGCACTTGCCATACTGCGAGTACTCTTTGCGCGAGACGGGTTGGCAGAGAAACTCATTGAATGCCTCCTTGGCACCTCCAATGGCCATTTTAACAATCACACGGCCCGCATGATCGTCAAAACCCTCGATTTGTCCATACTGATCTTTCTGCTTGCCACCCAATATTCGTACAAATGCTTGCTTCTTGATTTCCAACACTTCATTTTTATCCGGCTGCACCAACAGTGCCTTTGGCTTCAAGGCCTTGTCAGCGCCTAGGCCCATGCCTTTGGGTCGCAAAAATGGCGCCTCGTCCACTGGAGCAGCACCCTTTTTTTTTGGTGGCGGATCCACCCATCCCATGCCGCGCAGCATTGCAAGACCAAACTTTTCTATTGGTATAGAATCATAGTCATCTAAGGTTGCCTCCTTGGCACCATCCAGCGGAAGTTCATCAGCTTTCAGCGCCGGCAACACAAGCATTTCACCATCCACAATTTCGTTGCCGTTAGCGAGTGCGGCGGCGATTAGCTCACGAGCGGCGCGTTGTTCTAAGTTGGCGCTTTCACTATTAGCTGTTACTTCTGCTATGGACTGTGGCTCGACACAGGATTCCTCGGGCTCTACATCATCTTCACCCAGCAGCACAGCGCGTCTTTTCATAAGACTTGCCAGCGCTGTGGATGTTTTCTGACTAGTTGGCATTTGTATGACCAGCTTCGCAGCTTCTTGTTTTTCACTAGTAGCATAGAAAATATAATAAGCTTGTTATTCTATCAGGAAAAGTGTTAACTTACGTGACCAGTCTTATTTCCTTGCCTTCGAGGCATTTTATAAGCTCAACTTTGTTTTCTTCTTTTGGCAATTTGCTGGGCAATATATTTGGCTTCTTGGCCACCTTGCTAAAGCCAAAAGATATCTTTTTGGCGTCCATTGGACAGTTTTTGACTAAAATGCCGCTGGAAAACGTTTATAAACAAAAACGCAACAGCTGTGGTCAGAGAGTTGCCAGAGCGCGTAAGGTTATCGATTAATTTCCGATATCGAGTCTGATCATTTTCGATAGCGCTGCCAATTAAATAAATTACAATTCCTTGCATTTAATATTTATATTATACAGTATTTACGTGAGCAATTTCAAAAACAACAATTATAAAGTAAAGCTTTAATTAATTGGCAATAACAATTCATGTTATCGAATCTTCTCGAATCGTGTGTCAGCGTTTCTAACCTCAAAAACAAACGTCACTCATTCTCTTTCAAACAGCGGCAACAGCGGAACGCGAGGCACGAGTTCTTTCATTTTCGCATAGAAATTAATTAAAAACAGCTATAAATATGTTTGGTGGACAACAACCAATACTCGTGTTGAGTAAGTATTAAATTTTACATTGATGTGAGACATTTTATCAACTTATTCCTATCGTGTAGGTCAAAACACAAAAAGAGAATCGGGCCGCAAAGTGCAGTTGGAAAACATCCAAGCCGGAAAGGTATGTGTGTGCGTGTGACTGCGCTAGTGTGTGCGTGTGTGTAACGCTTGTGACTCACATGTCTCTTGCGTCTTTCGTGCAATTGTGACCATCTGTTTACAAGATTGTAATTTTGTTGTCCCTTTCAGGCTATTGCTGATGTGATACGCACATGCTTGGGCCCCCAGGCCATGCTAAAAATGCTTATGGATCCAATGGGCGGCATTGTGATGACCAACGATGGCAATGCGATTTTGCGAGAGATTACTGTGCAGCATCCGGCAGCCAAGAGCATGATTGAGATTGCACGCACACAAGACGAGGAGGTTGGCGATGGCACCACCTCTGTCATTGTACTGGCCGGCGAGATGCTTGCTGCTGCCGAGCCATTCTTGCAACAGCAAATACATCCGACAGTGATCATTCGGGCTTATCGTGAAGCCCTCGAGGATATTGTTAATCATTTGCAGTCCGATTTGAGTGTGCAGCTGGATGTTAATGATAAGGCCAAAATGGCTGATGTGGTAAAGGCCTGCGTCGGCACCAAATTCATTGGTAAGTGGTCTGACATGGCTGTCAAGATTGCCTTGGATGCTGTTGAGACTGTTACGTTGAATGAGAATGGACGCTTGGAGGTGGATATTAAGCGGTAGGTGTTTGAGGAAAAGGAATCTGGTCTGATAATTAATTTAATATTATAATATGTGTAGCTATGCTAAGGTAGAGAAGATTCCCGGTGGCGCTATTGAAGAATCATGTGTGCTGAAGGGCGTTATGCTTAACAAGGATGTGACGCATCCCAAAATGCGTCGCTACATTGAAAATCCACGCATTGTGCTGTTGGATTGCTCGTTGGAGTACAAAAAGGGCGAGAGCCAGACAAATGTAGAGATCATTGGCGAGCAGGACTTTACGCGCATGCTGCAAATTGAAGAGGAGTTTGTGCAGCGCGTTTGCGCTGATATAATTGCAGTCAAGCCGGATCTAGTGTTTACCGAGAAGGGTGTCTCTGATCTGGCACAACATTATTTGCTTAAAGCGGGCATCACGGCTATCCGACGCCTACGCAAAACGGACAATTTGCGTATTGCACGCGCCTGCGGTGCAACCATTGTGAATCGCACTGAGGAGCTGACAGAAAAGGATGTGGGCACTGGTGCCGGACTTTTCGAGATCAAGAAAATCGGCGACGAGTATTTCACGTTTGTCACACAGTGCAAGGATCCCAAGGCCTGTACCATACTGCTGCGCGGCGCCAGTAAGGACATCCTAAATGAAACGGAGCGTAATCTTCAGGATGCCCTGCATGTGGCACGGAATCTTGTGCTGGAGCCACGTCTTGTGGCAGGCGGCGGCGCCGTCGAAATGGCTGCCTCCCAGCTGTTGACACGTAAGCAGGTCAAGGGACCCTACACAGCCGTGGCTCACGCGCTGGAGATCATACCACGCACACTGGCCCAGAACTGCGGAGCAAATACCATACGTGCCCTCACCGCTCTACGTGCCAAGCACGCTTCACACACTGGCGCCGGCGTCTGTGCCTGGGGCATTGATGGTGAATCTGGCGAAATTGTCGACATGAATGTGAAGAACATTTGGGAGCCGCTTGCCGTCAAGCTGCAAACCTACAAAACTGCTGTGGAGACAGCTATTCTGCTGCTGCGCATTGATGATATTGTGTCTGGATCAAAGAAGCGCGGCGGCAACGAACCAACCAACCCGGCAGCCATGGCTCAGGGCCAAGAGTAGGCAAAGAACAACAAATACATGTGTATTAATAATGCTTAATATCTTAATACTTAATTTAACACACAAACCACCAAAACAAAACACACGCACACCACACTACAAATGTCTAACATTTCGCCAGCTCCCTCACATACAAAATTATTGTTGCATTTGCTCTCATTAACAGTACACAAATATAAACGAAAATAAAACACGATTTATTCATGTAATACCTTGATTCTCTAAGCTTACCCAACAATTTCGCGGGAACTATAATTAAAGAAGCTAGTCGAGCTGGTTATTGCTTGTTTAGTATGTCTTGAAAAACATAAAAGGTTTATAGAAAACATATACCCTTTTTTCAATGGGTTCAGGGTATTAGAACTTTAACTGACGTTGCTATGCATGTTCCATATACGGTAAAATGGTCATGACCGGTCGAACCCAGCATATGTACAGCAAAGCTGGATAAAATGGAAAGTTTAAAGTAAAACTCGCTGCAAAAACATTATTTGTATATATATATAGTGGAGTGTAGTTTGTAGTATATGGGGCCATTCCACAATCAAAAATTCAGAGTCCTTATAAAAATTATTTGTAGTTTCTCTTTATTTTTTATCGTATAAGCGGTCATCCATTAGCTTCAATACCTCCAAGCCAATGGATGTGAATTGTGGTTGTAAGTAACGTGCAAACAGTTCTAAGCAGTTCGGCTCCACTTGATCTCTTTCCAGCTGTAAATATTGACGCATCCAGTCCAGTAGTGGCGGTTTGTGGGAGTGCACAATGCTGGGCACGCTAAGCAGCAGTTCCGTTTGCGTCAGGTCTGTGGCATATGCCCCATTGCTCTGGACATGGCATGCCAAATAGAGTACCTCATAGGGCTGCTTTTGTGAGGCATCCTCTTCGTTCAAGTCGCTGATGAGTTGATGCGCCGTATTTAGCTTGTACCAGCGCAGTTTATGTAGCAAACGTAGTTGCCAACGTGGCAGAAGCTGTGTTTCCAGCGCCTGTTGATGCAGGTTTGAGTTCGTGCACCAAATGGCAACTAAGGTGCGTTCATGCGTGAGTTGTCCAAGCGGCAGCATTGCTAGCTGGTCGTTATCCATCATGGTATAGCCCAACTCCTGCTTGACGCGCTTCAGGCGGCGTATATATTTGTTACGCCAAGGTGGGTCAATCACGATTAAATCATAGCTTGGCCGAAGCTGCGGCAACAACGCTCTTAGCTGATCCACATTGTGGTTGTAAAAGCAGGCTGCGTGTGGTATAATAAAAGTGCTTGCCGGAGTTTGGAACGTTTGAAATTTACCAGTCGTATTGCTTCCATGCAGCTGGGGAAGTCCGTACTCATCTTCCCAGTAGCGCGGCAGAGTTCTGACTGCATCCACTTTTGCTTCTGGCAACAGCTCAAGGTACTCATTAATGTTGTCCACTGCTGCATTCTTCGCTGTTTCGCTTAATTTGCATTTGCGTTTGCGTTTTCGTTGGTTTTGTGGTGGCTGTTGACTTGTTTTTGGTTGAAATTGAAACAGCTGCGACTTTAGTTCATATGTCTCACTGTTAGGCACTGCAGAGCCGTAGGCTTTATTTATAAGTTGCCTATGATCAAGTAAAAGCGCGTGTTTTTCGTTTTGTTTTGATAGCTGCAACTTTTGCATGTTGACCGTCTTAACATAGCGATGTATCGATAAAGTGTTATCGATGATATTTGCTGTTAAAGTAACATTGATGCATAAATGCATGCAAACATTTGAACATCTTTCTTTTATACATACATTTAGCTGACCTTCAATATTTCAGCCTTAAACTCTTTAAATTTGATTTAAACCTGGCTTAATCGACTCAACTGTTGTTTCTGGGCAAGCATAAGCATATCATGGTAAACATAATAATAGTATTAATAACAATGACGATATAACTTAATATTTTCTTCTTTGAAATAGTTTTGCATTTTCTTAAGCAACTCTGCGTGCAGCCTGCGCATTGCGCTTCGGTCATAGAAGTTAAGTTCTTCCCCGGCATGCTCTGCAACATGTAGAAGCATTCTCCCAATGCCTATGCTTGTATGGTAGCAGCGTATGGGATTATGTTTTTCGTAACGTGGTAGCAGAAACATTGCAGGAGTGTCTTCGAAATTAAACTTTTTGGGGGCCTTATTTGTATGTATATTCATTTTGAATATATTTACTTGTTCCTGTTGCATTCTGGCAGCCAGTCGCTCTAGATTATCTAGAAAACTATCGGTTTTAGCCGTTCCAAGTTTATGTGAGCTGTAAAAGCCAAGCACAATATCCGCCTGCTGCTCCCCGTAGACAAGGTCATTAAAGTTTGCCAACTCTATATCCGGTACGCGTCGCTTATCCTCAAATCTAAACTGTTGGACTAGTGAATCGGTCAATAGTTGAGTGCAGAACACACGAAGGCTTGCCAGGCTAGGCGTGCTCGGTCCATGGGCGCTGCCAAAAAAGTGCACTTCACCAGCTGCACTTACTCCAAATATCAATGGAGGCGACTGCGTGGAGAAACTACTATCATCGCGCCGAAAAGGATATTTGTTAAACAGATCAAAGACGTATGCTGCGCAAATATCATCCACAAGAAATTCTATTTGCTTGCCAAACGAATCTGGAGCTGCCACTTCATAGATCATATCTAGCCAATGCGTCAGTCCATCCATGTCGTCGGCAAACAGATGCAGCGCTATAACCATTGGACGCTTCTCCAATCTCAGCGTGTATGTATAGCTTCCCTTACCAAGACGCTTCAATCTCTTCGCATGTCGTGAGCACAACCAACTGTTGTTATTTGGCAATGTGTTCGACATGATAGCTGCGAAACACAAACTCTAACTGAGGCCAAGTGGAGGAAGCTAAATAAAATATACCGAATGACTCATTCCAGTGCTTTAACGAAATCTGATGCAATATGCCGAAGCTTTGCTATTCGACAAAGAGCGCCAAGCACCACCAATCTCTACCCAATATAAAGAGAGCACATGCGTATTTTCTCGTTATCTCTATGGTATACGGCAGACATTCTATTCGTAACTCTTGTATAGTGAAAGGGTTAATATTGAAAAGGCAGTAAGTTAACTGGTTGATTAAACGAAACCCGCTATGGAACATATACATATATAATTATTGCATTTCGTCTAGGGTCTTTTCTGGAACTCTTCGCTCGCCCTGCACATCGTATTCCCTTAATTCCGGGTTTCTTAACGATCACAACGAGTACATCTCCATTGGCAAGCAGTTTGGCCAGAATTCGTAGCTTGCAGAAATAGGAGGCGGGATAGTAGAGCATTAATAAAAAATCCTAGGTACACCACCAATTCCGTGGTGACAAATCTAAAACAGAACTGGGACTCAATACAACAGCCTCATTTGCATCCTATGTGATTATCCTGATCTATGCCTTAGAGTCAGGGTGCAACAACCAAAATCCTCCACGCTTAATGACTGATGAAGGGCACTCGTTAAATGAATATTCAATAGATAGAGATCTTTGCAATGACGGTCAAAATACTGAAAATCCATAGTTTTTAGAGCATTAATAGGTCGGAGATTAATTGACGCATAGTTCATAGTTGATGCGTTGCCCGAGCCGCCCTTATCCTAAGCAAAACCAGAATGGAACTGTTTTCAGGCAAATGAATGAAGTGAAGCTTTTAAAATATGCCAATTTTTCAATTTCAATTTCTCAACAATCGGTAGTAAAAGCTCACTAAACAGTGGGACCAAGCTTAAACAAAAATACCCTGCTTATTGCGTAGGTATAGTGTGCCAAATAATAAATACCCTTTAAAATGCATGTTTCTTAAATGTTTGTATAAAAAATGGCTGAAAATGCAAATTGCTTACTTTCCACATCAATAAAACTAGTTGCTTACGTGTGCTCGTCACAATTAAAGTTTAATAACAATAACAAATTGAAAACGGTTAGTTATATATATTTATATCCGCTTGCACAATGCAACTATGCGTTCCCCCTTTTTGTTTTGCTTAAAAAAAACTTTAAAAATACCCTGTTATTGAACCGGCGACCTCTCGCTTGTTATTCCGACGCTCAGACCCTTGACCTTAGTTGCACAGGCTTTTGAAAAGCACAATTTATGCGTCTGCGTTGCTTCAGATGTTTTGCATACCCAAAGAGAAACTTCTGTACAAATTTCGGCTTCCCAGTTTGAGTTTGGGCAAACCTTTTCATATAAACAGATAACTTAAAACTTCGGTAGAATATAAAAAAAAAATTGTTTTACTTCGGTCTAAGCTGATTATCAACATTTGTACAGAAACCACTTTGAAATTCGTATCAAGATGCATATATTCCGTACATAAAACATTTTAAATATGTGGAATGTATACAAAAAAAAAAAAGAAAAAATATATGTTGGTGTGTCCATAAATAAAACTAAACCACAGTGGCATTTCGGAATCGTCTATGCATTTGTGCATATAGTTTATAGGTTGGCGCATGGTTTAATCAGATACTTATTAACATAAAACAAACCCGTACTAAAAACGATAACTAATTAACAGAGAAACTATGCTTAGTATCATTTACAGAGTAAATTGTAAATTGCATATAAAAATAGATTCTGTGCTGTGAACTTTTTCACTACTTAGGTGCTAAATAGAAAACTGTTGCGGCGCCTACCAGAGGCGCACCTGTTTAAGCTTGTCGTAAATGCTAAAATACAAGGCCGTTGTCAGGCTTGACTTGAGCAGCGTGGGAGCAACGCCCTTGTACAGACCCCATACACCCTCCTGCCGCACAGTTAACTGAAGACAATCCCAAACGCCATTGCATTGAAGGGTACGTCCGAATGTTTGGCGATTTTGCTCAAAGCCCTGGATTTGCAGACGCTTCTTGATTAAATCAAACGGATACACAATTGTCTTGGACAGCATGCCCGATGAGGCGCCTAGCACCAAAAGCGTCCAAGTAGGCAGCTTACTACGGTCGTCCACCTCAAAGAAAGTGCACGCCGATTCACTGAACAAACGATAGGCCATAAAGTTGGTGCCCATTAAGGGCGCGATTTGCAGCAGGGCTGAGGACAAGCCACGATACATTCCACGTGGTCCCTCCTGCCGCATAATGTCCGTGATAGCACGCGTTGCATTTCTGTAAACGAATAGAAGTTTTATTATAATATAAGTTCAAATTAATTAATATTCTGTATGTTACCGATATCCTTTGCTAGTGTCTTGGGCAATCAGGCGTGTGCGTATAACATCCAAAGGTGTGGATATGATCACTGCTGCAGCGCCCGCTGCAGCGCCGCACATGAAATTTGAGAGATGCGTGTGATCCTTGAGGTAGTTGGTTTGTTTGGCTACCAAGCTAAGCTGCTCGTATGTCCAAAACTGACAGATGCCGTACATAATGCTCAACACCTGGGCAGGATTGTGACCTTTCCAAAAGGCTAACAGGCCCTCCTCGCGATAAATGGTGCGCACGGCTTGAATAATAGACGTGTATTTAGAAGACTGCAATAGCGTATCGGATTTGTGGCCTGGTAGGACCACGTTATGTTCTGTTGTCCTAAACGGTTCCACCTGCAGCTGAAAGCGTATCTTGAGCACATCCAGGGGCTGACAGGTGGAACGTGTAATAGCGGCCGCCATGCCACCGGCAACAATTTGCTGCAGTTGCTCACGTGCGCTGTGCTTGCGACGTTGACTGACCGGTGTAGATGTGGGCGGGGAACACGCTGATACGGCCCCAGTACTGCTAGTTACCGCCGGCGTCATATCGCTTGCTGTCTTTTCAACTAAGTGTATCGATGTCAATGGCTCTTTTGGTGTGGCTGTGCGTGCTGGTTTTCGTGCTGATTTCACTTTTATTACTGCGGCTGCGTCTTCAATGGCATTTCTGTAAATCATATAAACAACAACAACGGCGGCATTAATGTGCTGTTAGACAAACAAAATAGTTTTCAACTCTTTCGTTGACGCTCTACTGAAATACTATTCAAGGTGCGCCCTGGTCTCGCGTCAAGTTGTTTGCACACTCATCAAATGATTGCCAAATTAATGTGTGAAAAAAACGATGCGATGAGATGAAGATCGCTGGCCGAACTTACAAGGTGTCATGCCCAGTGGAGCGCGTGTCAGTCGTTTGTTTCACTAGGCACCTCTTCTGCCTGGTGTTGTGGTTTCTTTTTTCCTTTTGGTTTCGCTATGGTCGCATGCGCGCCAATTTTGACATAGTCTTCAATCAGACTAAATTCACAAATTCATTCATTCAGGGATGGGGCCGTCTTATCGGAGATTTCACTTTTTTTTTGTATTGTTTTTGTTTTGTTGTCTGGTTGGCAGGGCTGATGCTGCTGCCAAAACATAGATAAAGCCGTTGCATTTGGTATGCATAACAAACGAAATGCCTCACCTTAAAAATATGCCAAATATCCAAAAAAGTCGCTCGTCAATAAATTCGACTGTTCGCTGCCAGAGTGCAGTGCTAACTGTTTAGCTGCGCGGCCGCACGACCACGACGCTTCTTCATTACAAATTACAAGTAGCGGCCATGCGATTGCGTCAAAACTTTCTTTTGCCCAGCGCTAGTGTGTGTGTGTGTGTGTGTGTAATAACTGTATGTTGCCGCTCGTTGATGTAGCTGCAGTTTATGCGAAAGGCTGTACAAACCGGTTTTGAAACGCTTTTCGGCTATAACAAAACAAATTGAAAACAAAACTTGGCCTTAAGTTACGTCAAGTGCATTCCCGAAACAGCTGTTGCTGTGCGCACCAGCTGAAAAAACTGATACTGCCAGCGCTTTTTTAACGATATATCGATATATTTATTTTGGCGTTGCCACCGGACGTGCGCGCGACAATATTAATTCGAACTATATCAAAAGTACTTACATAAAATAATATAGAATACAGAATATATATAACTATTTCCAGCCAATATTACCAGAGGCATCAGCAGGTGCGCTCGGCGAGGGCTGATAGCCCGGGGGTATGCTAAAGCCGAGCACTTCAAAATTGCTGCCACCAGCAGGTACAGCTGCGTGCGATTGCACAGGATACGGTGGCGTCTTGTGAGCAGGAATTGTCGTCGGTTTTGCAACTGGCGAAACTGGATTTGGTGTGTAATGCACTGGAGCTGCTGGCGATGTGTCCTCGGCTTTCGGATAGAGACTGGGTACAGGTGATTTGGCTCCATTGGCACTTGCAGGCTGGCCATTGAACAAGTAAACCGGATAACGTGGCTTAAACGTGTTGGACTCAAAGTGTTCAGTGCACACATCCTCTTGAAAATTTGGTGGAGCTGCGGAAAGACAAAAATGCCCTAAGCACAGGTTAATAGCTAACTTAAATGTCGCTTACGCAAAGATTGATAGCTGCCATTTGTGGTCGGTGCCTGCGGCTTCTGCCCGGGTCCCTTATCGTCAGCACTGCCCAGCAATGGCACTGTGCCAATGACCAGTGGAAACTCTACCACCAGATCCCCGCCGCCATGCAAACGGAATGTTTTGGCTATGAAACGAAGCGTGTAGCTAACCCGAATCGGATCACGCTCGCTCAGTGTTGTTGGAGTTGTGGGCGGCACCAGTAGGTATTCATCAAATTGCGCCTTATTATGTTTATCCACCTCACCACAGTGCTTGTCGGCTATGCGCGCCTCCGTAGTTTTAAGCTGCTCCTTATCACCAGCTTTGCCGCGATAGGTGACATTCTTGAACAGACGCACTTTCACATCCTGGCACTGCACATCCGACTGGTTGTCTAGCACAATGCGAAACTGTATTTTCTGGCCAGGCACATAGGCGCCGTAGGAGGTGCTCACATCCATGACCATTGGCTTATTACCGCCGAATATTGAGCCCCACCAGAAGGTTTTCTCCTCAATACGCTTCAGGGGTTGCTGACCATAACAGAAGGTAATGATTAGTCTATTCCAATAGTATTTGAAATCCGATGTTAGACCTACCAAATGCTCCCGCTTCACGTTCAAATCGTTCGGCAGTATAACCGTAAAGCATTGTTTGAATATATTATTATATCGCACGGCTCGATCTATAGTCAAGGTCACCTCGTGCTTTACCTGTCCATGCGTGCCGTTAAAAGAGGTGGGCGCCTGGGGCGGTATGCTGCTTTGAAAGGGGAACACATACTTGCCCTGGGGCAGCTCCAGCTGCGACCCACCGCTCTGTCCATACACATACTTATCGCTGCTATAGTAGATCTCAGTGGCGGTGTGCGTTTCTAGAGTTTTAACTGGTTTGCCATCGGCACCGGGTTTTTCGACGCTTTCCTGCCAGCGCGTCTCCACAAAACCATTCACGGTTATATATATGGCTGTGTATGGGAACAGGAACAGTGCGAGAAAGAGAGCAGATGGAGGCTTGAGAGTAATTGGCTTAATTTAATTGTAATGTTATTAAGCTATGTACATGCCACATGTGGGCAGTCTACGGATCAAGCTGCGTTTCAGCCAAGTTCAATTGTGTTTAATTCGAATTGAATTGACATGGCCCTGACTTTTTATAGAATCATATTCTATTTGCGGACCATTATAAAACCAGTTTAAAGCATAATTATGCGTCTTTCAAGTTAATCTAAGCCAGCCACAAAAAAAATCTTAAATCTAAAACTAACCATTTTGTTGTTGTTCTAAAGCTCTAGCCTGATGTTATTTCAATTGCAAATTTCAAATAAAAAGTAAATTCGTTTGCTTACAAATCAAAGTAGAGCACAAGCCTAACTTTAATGCCCAATAATTCGAAGAAAAACTAGTTTTTTTTTTTACGCTCGCTACAATATCAAATAGCCGACCGTGTATGTGTGTGTGTGTGTGTGTGTGTGTGTAACGTATATGTGTGTGTGTGAGCATTAGCCACCGGCACAATAACAAAAGAAATACACACATAACAACGGCAGCAGCAGCAACAACAACAATGACGGCTCGAATACAAATGAAGCGTCTGCCCCAAGCACAGAGAATTTCTATACGCAATGGAATTGGATGAGGAAGGGAACGCCATGACGTCATGCCATCCACAGCCCCAACAAAATATTATTTACGTCTTGGGCTACTACACACTTACAGCGTATGGTTTTTGGGCGCTCTGTGATAAGCTCTGCTGTGCCGGATACTACCTGGCCAGCATAGTAGACGCCCAAGATACTGTCGAAGTTAAAATTCACCTTGCTGCTCATCTTTTGGGTAGACGTTATTGGGCTGTGTAGATAAATATACGTATATATGGACCTTGGTGACAGGCAGTGTCAGGATATGTGCTTTAAATGGTGGTATCTTTATTTTGTTGACTGTGGCAAGCAACGCGGAACACACACGAGGCCACGACCACGACCACTGGACGCGACAAGCTACAAATTAATACTGAAGCAGAATCCGATTAATAAATTCTCATATGCTCTTCGGCAATGCGCTCTGTTTCTGTGCGTGGCTTCTTTTTGTCGCATAATCGGGGAAGAACCTGCTTACAAAAATACAGCCCTGCAACCAATTGATCGTTTTTATTTGGTATTGTTCAAAATATAGCAATAAAATGTTTCTTCTGAATAATTTGCTGCTTATCGCATTTTTAAATGTAAACTTTAAGCGCGTCAACTGCAAGCCAGGTGGCAACGCCGCCTTATGTTTAGCGCCAGCTGATTTGTAAAAGTTATCGCCTATCGTTATCGTGTGGCAAGCTAAAACAAAAGCAACAACGTTTCTAGTTACTTTTCATGAATTATTAAAAATATTGGCCGTAGTTAATCTTATTTAAAAAGACCTGAGTGCGCGCAATTGTAATTAACATCCCGCTACATATTATCAGTTAAAGTGTAAGGCTCAATTCATGCTCTGGCTGAATGAAAGTGTGCAAAGTTGTAGTTGTATTTCTGCACAGTGATACCAAAAAGCGGCCGCTCAAATGTGGCGTTTTATATGTTATTTTTGGATGAGTATTTAATGAGAGCAGCAGCATGGAAAGCGAACGACTATGCATTCGACTGGACAATCCAGAACGCATTTTCTATGCCGGGCAGGTTATACGCGGCGAGATTTGGATGAATCTCAACAAGCGTACCAAAATAAGAGGTAAATTTGTAATTATTCTTGTTATTATTTGTTATTTCACAACCGGAGCTTGCATCATGAGTGAGTCAGGCCCTGCCAGACCACAATTTGCGGTCACTAGTGGAGTTTTCTGATTTTGTTGTACCCATTGTCATCGTGGTTTCGTTATGGCCGCATTGGCATAAACAAAGAAGATGTTTAACAACAACAACAACAACAGTATAAACAAAGCTCTGCAGCCGTAGCCATTTTGTTGCGTTTAGCTTCTCTTGGTTTGTGCGAGATTCCCATTCTGCATTCTTTAAATTTGGTGTTGTTCATCGATAAGTGCTAAATTGCTTGCATTCGGTAATTGCTCTTCTTTTTTTTTGTGGGGTCATTCGATTCAGGAAATACTACGCGCGGGTTCATTTAGATAGCGGCGAGCAGGGTGCAGGTGTGGTGTGCGAGTACGCGTACTCCCTCTGTGCGTGCGTGTGTATGTACTAAAAATGCCGTAATATTGGCTGAAGCACAAAGAGAGCTTTGCTTTCTCAATACAGTACTGGCTAGAAAAAAGTGAACACGTACTGCATCGCTCTCGCTATTAATGTCAATTGACAATGTCAATAGAGAAGATTTTAATAATTGGAAATACTCGACCATTATTCTTTTTAACACGCGATCTACAACAATAAATATTAAAATGAGCTATTGTTACAATTCATATAAGTCGTAAATTATATTAAAATAAATAGGTTTATTATCAATGCACAATATTTAGTAGCTGCTTTATACTACATCTGAGAAAAACAGCCGGTTATTAGATAAGCATAAATCTCGTATTTATTTTCATCAGTTACTACACTGCATTCCTTTGCTTACACTTACAAAGTTTCAAAATCAAAACAAACACCTGCATATCGTAGTTTCTGTGAGTTAAAACGCCTTCAGAAAGAGAATGAAAGAGAGAACAATGTGGCGTCCTTCTGTTTACTAAACTTCATTATCTCATTAATTCTATTTGACTAAACGAGAGAGAGAGAGAGAGAGAGAGAGAACTTCGTGAGCGCCACTCTACACAGCTGTTGTGCCCTACACACGAACAAGCGGCGCATATGAGTTTGCTGCATATGGGAAGCCATAGCTAAAGTGTTTTGTGTTACGTAGCTTTAATATGGTTTTCGTCATATCTCTTATGGCTCCATATTAAATTCAGCAAGTACGTTATCAATAGGTAATATAACACATAAAAAAAAACGATTTATTATCAGAGCACCTACTTGGAAGAGTTTATACAAGTACATATATGTATATACATATATTTATATATAATATTCATATCAAAACAAAACATTTTTATTAGGGGAATGTTTCTGATGGTTGTAGCACATTATCAGTGTATACACATGTATGGCAAAAGACAAATACACATTTGGACACATTTTACTCTTTTGATTCGTTTGTAGTTAGCTTATAAGGCTTCGCAATTATATTTAATTAGTTACAATGAACCGTAAAACCCCCTATTAGCCCCACCCCAATGCGCACAATATATATCTAATATATAATATGTTAGGCCTTAATTGAACACATCTTACTCCTCGTTAGCAACAGCTGCCTATTTATAAGAAAGAAAAATTTGTGCACATAATTGAACTGTTTTTCTCTGTTTGCCATAATATCACCCTCTTAACCCTTGTTGACTTTGTCCTTAAGAAAGCGCTCGACACGAGGCCAAATTTCTTTGGTTTCGCGACCTTTGAAACTGGTAACCAGACCACGTTTCGCATACCAGGCCAAAACTGGACCCATTAGCTCATCGTAGAGCTGCAAACGTTTGGAGACCACCTCCGGTTTGTCATCCTCGCGTTGGGTCAGCTGTTCGCCCGTTACATCATCCTTGCCGGCCACCTGGGGATCATTGAAGCCAATATTGTAGACACGTCCGGATGGTGCGTGTATCCAGCGATGCTTTACACGCTCGATGATTACATCATGTGGAATGTCTAAATTGATAACAGCATCGATTTGCTCACGCGCCGACAGAATGTCCGCTTGGGCACTGTTGCGCGGAAAGCCGTCCAGAATGTAGGACTTGTTGCCAACCTCCGTGATACGGGCCAGCATTGTCTTAGTCACTATCTCATCGGGCACCAGTTGGCCGGAGGCAATATAGCGTTGTGCCTTTTTGCCCAAATCCGTGTTGTTGATAATATTTTGGCGGAGAATGTCGCCCGAGGAGATGTGCAGAAAGCCAAAAGTCTTGACAATGCGATCCGATATGGTGCCTTTTCCTGAGCCAGGAGCTCCGATTATCACAGCACGAAAGATTTTCGTATACATTATGATTATATGGTATTATTGTTGAATTTGCGCTGCAAGAGATATGAAAAGAAATATGAGTTTAGTTTTGTGATTATTTGTCTATTTTGATAACATGCTAACACAGTCTCAAATTATTTTCTTTTCTGTTGCTAAGGCAATTATTGAGAATATAGTTATAACCGATATATACAAAGAAAGTCAACAAATGCTTTAAGCTAGCTGAAACTGCCTTTCCAAAACGTAAAAGTGTTTCAAAATTCTGAGTAACCAGTTGTCTGAGTCGGCGGCAGTGATACATTAGAAAAATATTTTTGTATAAGTTTTTCGTTTATATTTCATGTTAATTGTTTTGCTAAATTGCCTGCCTCCAATATTTAATATACTTTTCGTTTTGAGATAACGCTTAACTATTTTTATCTAGCAAGCGATTATAAATCGTAAACGTGGTAATCTTTATTTTTCATTCACACATGGCCTTTGAATGGACATAAGCTCAACACGGCAACAACTATGTAGCGCAGCCAACAACAACAACAACAGCAACAACAACAACGACAAGCATGGCTTTTTTCAAGTTCTTTGTCTTTGTGTAGTTATTGCTGTTGTTGTGTTTAGCTGTTGTTGTGGTGGGTGCGCTCTTATCGTTCAAAGTCCAAACAAAAGCCAATGTCGCCGCGTGTTGTTTTGCTCTGCACTTTTCATTGGCATTCGCAATTTTCTTGCATTGCGTAGTTTACTGCTCCCGTTGTTTCGTATTGAATGTTCGAATGTGCGCTGCATTATGCATTATGTAAATTTGTAGTGCCAAAAGAACGATGCTGCCGTATCTTACTTACCCAATTATTCTTTTTATATTTATTGTGATATAATGTTCGCTAAATATAAATATTTCGCTACCTGTTACGCGTGTTTATTCGATTATAATTTAAGCTCACGTACTAATTACAATAACTTGTCGCGTTTATTATTCTAAATCAAAGTCTTGTGCGCGAACAAATATATATGTACAGACACACACACACACACGCACGCAGAAACATAGGCACACAATCAGACGCACATATTCCCCCCTGATGTGGGCTCCAAAAGCTGCTTCTGCTGCTGCCGGCAGGCAAATATCAACTGAATGCGGACGGGGGTAACACGCTTTATCTCGGACTCAGTTTGAACTTCGTTTAGCGTCCAGACTTTTTATGCCCGCTGCTCGTACGATTTTCAGCGCCAACTGCGGCGCACCAATACATATGTAAGCACTCTCGCGCTCTTTAAAGAGCGTTCTTTTGTGTGGGCGCTGTGTGTATGGGTGCGTAAGAGAGCGTCCACTATTGTGAATAGCCGGTTTGCGCAATCTCGATTTGTTTGTTGTCGTTGTAATTATTCGTGAGAGGAACGAAGCACGCATTTCTCAAATAAATAGAAATTCATACATCTGTAAATCTGTTAGTACGGAAGCAACTGGCTATGAAAACAACAAACTGTATCAACTGTTGATATCGGTAGCGATTCTGGGATATACCCTGAAAACAAATGCTTAAAGGGGTATATATGGGTGTTGTTTATAATTACATGCGAAATGTTTTACGAATTTGTAAACATGTTTGCCATTGGCAAGTTGCCATATGAAGTTTAGAACCATTGCAACTTTATCGATAATACTTGTGCGTTCGATACCAAAATGATCGATTATTTGAAGGATTTCAATGAATTGAGCGTACAATTTAAACGAAATTTAATTACCCTAATCGAAAACAAAAATAACCAAAAAATTTTTTAATTATATGGCATTTAAAATTCAGTTTTAAATTTCTGGACTAGTCTAAATTCTGGCAATTTTCATTTCCGAACGTCCAGTACTGTATGCATTCTGAAAAATATCTTATTTTATTATTTGCTTTATAAAAAACTTAGTTGGCTGTACATTAAAAAAAAAACTTAAATTTTAAATGTTTTTATAGTTTATATAATGTTGCTTACCTTTGCTGATATAAAGATTATAACTTGAAACCCGTTCAGAGTTGCAAACAATAATGTTTTGTTTTTATATCTGGCGTAAGATATACATTCTCATGAATTTTCAGAAATTTTTTTTTTTTTTTTTTACATTTATTGAAGATCAGGAAAAAAGATTTCATTATCTGTAATGCATGCAGACCATGCAAATTGCTTCGTAAGCATCTTTATTTTGGTGTCCATGTTTGTGTTAATGGGGTCTATCAGATATTAATTACATTTTGAGTGTTTATCAAGTATACATAGAACTACGTATAAGGGGAACTTAACGCTGTATGTGCCTATACTTAAATTCTAACCGCTGTCACTGGGGGCGTTTGTTGTTTTCTTTTTAAGTATATCCTTGTCGCTCTCAATGATGCCTTGCTTGCGCTCCTTTTGTGCCTCTTTGATCATTTCGTCCACCTCTTCGATGGTGGGTCCATCACCAGGCGGGCTAACACTCCGTTCGGGACCCGAACGCCTGCCATTATGGCGGCTGTCAAAGTTCCAACGATTCTGAAACCGTCCACGACCGCGTCCTCGTCCGCGCGGCGTGAATCGCTTCGAATGATAACGCCCAGGACTAATGCTGCGTGAACGTGAGCGAGTGCGTCGATAGCGAGTGGCTGGCGAGGGCGTCCGTCGGGGTACAAACGGCGAGGGTGTGCGTCGGGGTACAAAAGGCGAGGGTGTGCGTCGAGGCACAAACGGCGACGGCGTGCGACGTGCTCGGCCGAAGGAACGTGAGCGGGTTCGACGATTTCCAAACCGTTGCTTATATCCACGCCCCCCTCTAAAGCGTGATCTCCCTCCTCCATAACGTGAAGGCGAGTAACTACGACTGCGACTGCTTCTACGACTATGGCTACGGCTAGGTGTGCGTCGTCTTCTAGATCTTGAGTAACGCGAGCGACTCCTGCTCCTGCTGCGAGAACGCGAGCTCCCACCGCGCCGTCGCAAAGAGCGTCTGTCGCGGGAACGGCTTCGACTGCGTCGTCTAGGCGAGCGACTGCGGCTGCGACTATGCGAATGCGAGCTGAGTGGCGTGGCCAAGCGCAGCAATCCAAATTTATCCATTTGCAGCGGACGCTTCTTAATTTGAAATGAGAGCTTCTGCTGTTGTTGCTCCAGTTGCTGCAGTTGCTGCAGTTGCTGATGCTGATGAATGTGAAACTTGGGCGCCGGCGGCGGCTGCTCATCATCCACATTTGCCGCAGCGGCGGCATATTTCGAAGTGCTTGGTCCCATCATTAAACTGTAATCAACTGCCGATGGATGCTTTCGCATTGTGTTGGATGCAGGCGGTGGCGGCGGCGGCGGGGGTGTTTCCGAGCGTTCCCTACTCTTAAAATAGTTTTGCAGCTGGGCCTTTAGCTGGGCATCGCTGCTGCTGCTGCTCATGAGCCTGCAAAGGTTTTAGCAAAAAAGAAACGTGTAAAATGTGCACAAAAAAGACAAGCAACTCAGCATACTTATTATTCCGACTAATACTTCATGCATGGATGAGCGCAAGGATAAAATCAATTTGATTGCGGGCACTTAAAGCGGGTCAATGGGCCCAGATCATAACTAAGAAAATTGCAGTGTTAGGTAAACTAGCTGTGACTGGCTCAAAAATTATATATATCTGCATATATCCAATGAGGGAAGACGTTCAGGTTAATGAACGACGCAGAAATCCAAAATACAATACATGATGGTAGCAGTAACAAATTTGCCAGTCAGCTTTTTATGATCAAGGTTTTGACCCGCTTAACATAAGATACACGCAGTTACCTGAACGCCTCCGCATAGTCAATTTTCTTGAGCATTTCCAGTGCATCCTCTGTGGTTGTCATTGCATCAACTTCATCCGCCGACTTTGATTTGGATTTCTTGAGGTCCTTGCGATCCTTGTCCTTCTTCTTTTTTCCCCGCTTTTTGGATTTCTTGTGCTTGCTGGCCTCGCGCAACAGCCGACGAACACTGCTCATGGTCTCATCATCGTCCAGCTTGAACTCATTGGCTGATAGGGCGTCGCTTACGGCGTGCTTGTTCCGCTCTATGGGCAAATGAACGTCCCTGGAGTGCGATTTGCCGGCTAAAATGTACAATAGGTTGGTTGTGGTAAATTCAGTCATGCCGTAGGCTGACACTTACGCTGCTCCTCGCTGTCATTGTCGTTGTCACTGGCACTTGATGAGCTGGAATCGTCCGAGGAGCCAATGGTGATGGCAGCGCCAGTAGCGTTGTGCAAATTAAGCAGCTCGGCGCCATGCTGTATGGGCCTGAGATTGGAACTGGTGCCAAGTGCAGCTGATCTTTGTTGCTGCAGTGCATCCAGCGAGATGCGTGCCTGTTCATGCTGTGGCAATAGGTTCAGGCAATCGCTGTACGCCTTGATTGCATCCGGAATGCGATTCTCCTCCTCATAGCTGCGTCCAAGTGCCACCAGGGTTTCGCCCATATATTTACGCGCATTCACATGGTACTTATTCAACATTAGCGCCTTTTCAAAGTCTTTCAGACCCTTCAAGAAACTGCCCCGATTCGCGTATAGCGCCCCGCGCGCCACCAAACCCTCGACATTGCGCGGATCAATGTTTAGGGCCTTGTTTAGGCACTGAAAGGCCTCAACTTGTTGGCCATTCTTAAAGTGCTCAATGCCATCAGCTACGGAGCTGATTTTAGAAATATTTTGCGTACGTGTGTGGGTGTTTGCAATGGATATATGGACAATTATACATACATATTTTGATGCATGTTTCGCTACTAAAATGCTTCAACTCACGGCTGGTCGCTGCTGCTCGCATTATCAGTGAACCATCTAAAGTAGTGTCCATATAGCCTTGCTTACCAGCGCACTTTGCGAGCAGCCGTGATTTGAAATTATAACACTTACCGGAATGCCCATTGTGAGGCCTGTTTCTGGCGCAGCTCGAGAGCATATTCAGCCTCGGGAAAGCCCACTTTGATATTGCTCATCAATGTCAGATTCTCGTTGGGCTGCAGTCCATTGAGTTGGAATAGTACATCATAGTTGGGATTCTCAAATTCCAGCGCTGCATTCAACTGATCCTCATAATGTGGTGCACTCGATGGCTCCTGATTATGTATTTGACTAAGCGCACATTTGATATAATGGAAAGACTATTTTGCTCGTGAACAATTCACATACCGATAGTAATTGGGGAGTGCTGAGAGATCGCATAGGCCCAGTTGCAGATCTGGCGTTTTATTGTACAGACCCAACATGCCCAAAGTCATGCGCTCCACATCCGCAGATACGTTGCACACCTCACAGCGTAGGAAATCATTTGTTGCAAATGCACGGGGATTGCCCTGTTTGTCCAGCGGTAGTGGACCCCAATGGTCCTGCATAATGATGGCCTGAAAATATATATATAATGTTAAATGAATTATTAAGTTGTAGAAGGGACCGGCATATTGTATACCAACCTTAATGGGCATATCGGCCAGATAGAAGTGCAATGGTTCTCCTGTGCACAAGGGCTTGACCATAATACGGTTCGCATTGGCCATTACCTTTTGCACAGAGGCAAACACAATGTCGCCCTGCTTAAGTGCACCTATGCGATATGCCCAGGCCTTGCGTTTGTCCTTAACATTTAAATAAAACTCAAGCGGTGGTTGTTGTGCGATGCAGTTGCTCATTTGTGTTAGCCATGATTCCTCCATCACATTGCCCACCAACTGCCGGTCGTACAAATCCAATGCTTTACGTGCCAGAAACTGATGAATCTTCAAGCGTTTGGCACGCTCCTGAAATGTAAAATACTTCTGCCGCTCCTGGTACACACTGTAGTTGGGCTGCGTCAGGTTTAAGCGCCGCAAGTCCTCAATGCCGCGCTCATCGTCCCAGATTTTCTGCAATGGCTGGCCATGGTAGCAGAGTGCGCGTGATATATAATTGGCATTCATATTCGCAGCGGACTGTTGCAATTTCTACTCCATTACAATTTTCACTGGCTGGCGTCCTGAACTTCGAAAAGAAGAAAGAAAAAGAGAAACACATGACAATGTTTGCGGCTCGCCCATAGCTGAATAAAATGCCTTTGCCTGTGTTGCAGCAAAGTGACTGAACAAGTTGTTTGATTGATTTTTTACAGTAACTTGCCTGCTTAAACTCGGTTAATAAAATTAAATGCCTTCATATAATTTTTCCAATGCCCTAAGAAAATCGTGTTTTCTGTTCAGCAAACACGTGGCAACTCTGGTATTTTGAAAGACACATACAGAAGGTTATCGATATTTTGTGGGCAGCTACGCCTATGCGATTACAGTTGCAGAAATTGAAATTCTATAACGAAAGGCACTGCCAATTGTTACATTGAATAAGCAACATTAAATATACAATTTTAAATTTTAAATATGTAAAACTACATACTAAATATTATGTTAATAGTACAAATTTATTACTGTTAGTAGCAGAGCACTTTGTTTTGTGTGAATTAAGTCAAGACGCGAACCATGAGGCCGAGTGCATTGTCAGTAGTTGGCAACACTGTCTGTTAGCTAGTTTCCAACTAACACGCTAGATGGCGCTTTTGAAACTATTTAAATTAAAAAAAAACGGTTAGTAAATTAATTTTTATTTTCCCTACAGCAATAAAAATTCAGGTAACTGGCAAAGGCAAATGCAAATGGATGGAAATCTTGCGCAAAAATTCCAACAACAATGAGTACACGCGCAGCCTCTTTTACACCAGCAAAGAGATTTACGAGCATAGCGAAACACCGCTTCCCGAATTCGAACCGCGCGGCCTGGAACTGTCGCCCGGCGAGCACACTTTTAACTTCAATGTGGCACTGGGCCGTCAGCTGCCTTCGAGTTTCCGGGGCAGCTATGGCAGCATTAAGTACAAGATGCGTGTACTCATACAAAGACCCTGGACCTTCGACGAACGCCACACCATACCATTTTCGGTGGTAAAGAATATGCCCCTGCCATCGACATATCGCAGCAATCCCACTCCGCTGGAGAAGCAAATCACCAAGACAATTAGCCTGTTTGGTACGCGACCCATTACCATGTTGGCTCTGCTGCCCGAGGACTTCGCTGTGCGAGGTGAACCGTTGCGCATTTGTGTTACCGTCATGAACAACAGCACGACGAATGTGGAGAAGCTGCGCTTCAAGTAAGTGTTTGTTTTAGTTAACTTCCAGTTGAATATGCTATACATACATATATACACAATTATGGGAAATGGATTCTCGTTAGTCCGATCCCAATATGAATTTTTCTGGGTTCAGTGGTTTTTTCTTAAAAAGGCGTATGCTCAATTTTGTGGGGTATGTGGGGAGGTATTTAATATTGGAATATTCGCGCTGGTCTGCGGGAAATAAAAAGTTGTATGTTCTAGCTTTGATAATATCTAGGGGTAGGTATTTACTTTATGGCGTCGGAAACTCTTTTGTCTGCCCTTTTCATATATTTGCACCAAATCAGTTAACTCTGTTTTAACCATTTTAAACAAATGGGAAAAAAGTTTACAAATAATTTGAAAAAGATTGTTTAAGTCGGGATGATAGACACTGAACCCAGCGTCGCGATGCTGACACAAACATACAAATTTGCTTTCCCTGGTGGGAAACTGAAAATCAACCTCGGCTGGAAGGAGGTTTCCTCCTTCATGGACGGCTCGAGAACGGTAGATGGAACAGGGTCAAATAGAAATATCAAAGTTTAGTCGAGCGAATATCTATGCCATCTTGAAGGCATCTAATCTGATCTGTATGCTGGGTGTGACCGACAGCCAGACAGATTTCTATTAGCGCACAATACAGAAAGCAAACATATTCGTAACCAAGTGAAATAAAGTGTATAAATAAAGTGAATAAAACCAAGCTGAGCAGAGGAAGCTGAACCAGAGGAAAGCAGCGATATGGCGGATGAGTGCGTCAACACGACCGAAAGTCTGTTTCCATTCACATCTGAAAGCAGGACTATCGTAGAGGAGAGGTGGCTATCTAAGCTTAATTGTCAAATCTCGCGGGCACTTTGGGCAACCAACCTTCCACACCTTGGGTTTGGGACAGGAGTTATAAGCCTCCGCCGGAATTAGGAGAAGACTAGAAACATCCAAAAGCTTGAGAGAAAATAGATGAGAAATCGTTTTGTGACAAGGGGATCTGGCACGATTTGCCTAGAGACGCGAACTGGCCTAGGACAGCCCGAGACACAACACTCAATCATTTACAGTACATAATCCGCTACTCTCTCCATGCTAATAACGAGATGTGAATCCTCTACTCCAGCATTTTGCAGTACGTCACCTACTACAGCCATGTGCCGTTGCGCGTGCAAAAGGTCGAGTGCATCGCGATTGCCAACAAGGAGACGGGCGCAGTCGCCAAGAAAAGTGAGCGCAGCTTTGCCCATGAGCTGCTCATGCCGGACACGGCACAGCCTACGGATGAGCAGTACAGTGGCGTCATAACCATAGCCTATGAGCTGCGTGTTGAGGCTGTGCTGCGCGGCTTCTTTAAGAATTTGGTGCTTAACTTGCCTTTCAAGGTGTATTCACAGGATGTGTCTGCCAGATTGGGTTGCGTGCGTCCATCGCTGCCACCGCGTCCCGACGACGGGCCACCAGGTCCGGACGACGCTGCCGTCACACCAGGCAATCCCTTTGAGCCGACTGCTGCTTTGTCTGTGTATCCAACGCTAGATTCTTCCATTGGCTCGCCTTCGCATTCATCGGTATACAGCGAATGCAGTTCCCTGAACTCAACCACATCGGATTCAACGCTGAGTCCAGCAGTTGGTGGCGTCGAGTTGTCCTACACATCTGGCTCGCAATCTTCACAGTTCGGCAGCCCCTCGGCTCGTGCTAGCCTGCGCAGCAGCTCGAATGTGCCCTACATGCCTTACTCATCTAGCCCACTGATGGTGCAGTCCTATCCACCGCCACATTTACCACCGTATCCATTGCCCGAATCGCCGCAGTACACGCTGCTCGCTCTGACGCCTCCGCCAGCGACGTCAGGTGGACCACAGCCGCAAGCTGGCGGCGGCTATAGCCAATTGCCATCCACCTCAGCAGCGTCCGGATCTTACCTGCAGTCACGGCAAAACGGCGGCGCGCAGGCTTTGCGTAAGTTTTTTCCAAAAAGTTTTTGTTTAGGATTTTATTTCAAACTTTTTAATCTATTGCAGCTCCCTCCTACGAGGAGCTCTTTGGCAGCGCCAATGCACCGCCGGAGTCGCCCAAGTGAGATGCAATCATTGCCACGCCCCTATGTAGTTCATTGCCGCCCAGTTATACCTAAGCTTTGCCCAGAAACGCTTCAGGTTTACTTTAGAGTGCTAACAAGCATAACTATTAACTATATTCTGGAGTTGTGTATCTCAATCAAATGTTACAAAACGTATCTCGAATGAGCAAATCGTAACGAAACGAACAATGCCATCAAATTTTCACACAAAAACAAACACACAATGCGCATTAAATATATGTGTAAAAAAGTTTTGATCAATTACTTATTGATAAGTTTCGCATTAGCCCCTAAGATATCCGAATGTAATTTTGCCTAAATGCAACAGCAAAAACCTTGCCTTTGTATGGCTGATTAGACTCGTTTATACTAACGCCAATTTTGTGTTCGCACCTTTTTAAAAGGCGTGGTAGCTACAGACGTTCAATAACTACCGAATAGTTAGCTTGTTGGCTTAAATAAATCGTGACTAGATTTAAACCATTTTAAGCGAATATTTTAAATTAGTTAAACGAAATTTACTCAAATATCGTCAACTCAATTTGTTTGAAGAATCATAAAGAATTTAATTTATTTTTGTATAATATTATACTGTAAAGCACAAATTTTAATTATTTTTTGCATAAAATATCTTGCAATATTTTTTCCCAAAAAATGTTGAGACAGCTTTAAAAAAACTGTTAATTATGAATCCCATATTATTTATGACAGCGAACTGTGTGTGCGTTTTATTGATTTGAAAAAAAGAAACCTTTTTTTTTAAATTCCCCATTTTCTTTAATATTTAACAATTCACTCTTATCGATGAGTCAATGTTTGTTATCGTCCATTCACTCGCCCATTTTCAGCAAATATTTGTTATTTATTTTTTGCACCACATTTAAATAATTATATTTATAATATTTTACTCGAATACGCACAGCTAAAGTGAACAAATTCGAAATGCTTTCGAAATGAAATGTCCACTGATCGATAATCGATATCCAAAACCAATTTATCGATCGATACTTGTCCTATGTAAGTTGCACAAACCAAATCAAAACATAAATTATTTCGCTAAGGTGCTTTATTAATTATTCAGCGAATATTTTTGGAATATTTTTATTGCTGTATTTTTTTGACATTTGATTTACGAACGCAATGGCGCCAATAAAATGTTTACATACATGAATTCTAATTATGGCTCTTTAAGCTCTGATGTTTTTTTTTTTGAGCTGAGGAATATGGAGATTCCAGTCGTATAGTATTATATAGTTACAAAATTATTGGGAATAATATTTTCTTAAAGAGTTCCGTCTACAATGGCTTTCAGCTACGACTTGACAGCATCTAGCCTGGAATCCGAGCTGGCATTCTCGGTGATTTGTTGCCTGCACGACTGACACACTAAGGCAACTTATCCAACGAGGACTCTAGCTAAGTTTTTGCCATGCAACATTTATAACGACAACAGGCCCTAATCTGAATCCGCTTTAAACTTCAACCTTTTTGTTCATTTGACACGGATGGTGGACTTGATAATAACTTATATACCTGGCGCAATTTTTATTTGTATAGCCCGGTCGAGTTATCCGGCTAACATTTAATTTTTATAAAATTTCTTGGTGCACAGCAAGCTCCAAATCAAAATTTGTAATCTTTTTGTGCCCCATCGCAAACGGGTCAACAAGTCGGTGGGGCGTTTTGTCGTGTGGGTCGCCCGGCTGAAAACTGACCACCTACGCAAGTAGTTACCTGAAATACAAACGGTGTATTGTTACGTGTACGTGTTAAATTACAATTTCAAGTGCTTGAAGGAGCAGTGCATTCACGCCCAGCTCTCCCTATCCCGGCGCCAGAGTGTAGGATAAACGTGTGCGGTTTTCTTCAACAAGCAACGGAAGTGTTAAGTCAGCTGTAATTGTTTTCCCACTTTTTGTTTCGAGGAACAACGGCGACGAAATGACGACAATTTAGTTTTCTCTCCCTTTCCCCTACACTTTTGGCATAGTCTTAGTAACCATAAATTATATTTCATATAGGGTATGTTTGCGCAGGGAGTCGAGGGTGCTGAGCTACAGCAGAAGCGGGTGTCTGCATGGGCAGCATACATAAACAAAATTGTTAAATAATAGCAACATTTAACGGAAGTGTAATGCCTCTTATTCAGGGACCAACAACACGCGCGACAAACGATCGAGCTCTTGGCTCTGGTATTTATGTCAAATTATACAGGTGTTAAGGGGCGACCCTTGACGCACGTGAACTGGCCCCTTTGCGGCTAGGGGCTCCCCCAGCAACCCAGCTGTCCAACTGCCTAGCTCTTTAATGTCTTAATCCTTGTCGCTCCATGCCAAACATTTATGGTAAGAAACAGTTGGATTTGTGGCTAATGCCACATTTGACCAATTTAATGATTTGATTTTGGCATTACAAACGTGCCACTAGCTGATGTTGAGTATACGCCATGTGTGACCAACAGATGCAAGATTAGCAACACGCACATTAAAATAAAAATGCAACTTATGTCTATTTGGCTGAACAGTAAGCCGGTAAAACTCTGAACAACCTATTCATGAATTGTTATTTCTGCCTAACTATAGATGTTATTTTTCTGTTGAATTATTCTGTTGTCAAGCAACTTTGATTTACTTTCGCAATAAATAGAACCTGCCTCTGATATTAACGTTAATATATATAATCACATATTTTCTCTTTCTTGATCGCAATCTCTGAACAAAGGAGAGTTCCTAGACACAACAATTGTTGTTTCATATTTATTGAGACATATAAACATATATATTTTTTGGCTTTAATATTGAAAGGAGGCCGGAGCTCAAATGAAAATTACTTTTGAATGACATCAGACTTGTCTTTACGCGCACACATTAAAATTGGTAATAACAAATCTAAATTATTTTTCTGTTCAGAGCATATTGAGTTTCTCATGAGAATGTGTATTCTTGATCAGTATCAATAGCCGAGTCGATATACCCATGCTCGGCTGCCTGTTTCCAGGCAAGCTAGTCTCTTGGTCTTTAAGCCATCGTCATGGATTTTATCTTCTTGCTCTAGATAGAAGCACTACATCATATACTTGCCCTAGAAGGAATTGGTCTGGAAATTTGATTAATATAGTTACGAAACCCCGCTCTGTTTAGCTCTGCTCGTCGATATTAAGAGCTCAATGCCAATGACAGTGATATCCACATGCTATCGATGTAGAAAAGTTAATATAAACTGTGGACCAGTGAGGGTGACCAGCAAGTTTGCTTTGGTATTTCCGTGGCATGTGGCAAGCATACCCTGAACAACTTTGTATACGAATTGGCGGCACATGCCCAGAAGCAGCTGGTTTCGTTTGAGGGGGAGCGTTGCTGAAAATTAGTATATTTGCCTGGGCCTGGTCTTGCGCTTAAGCCGAGGGGAAGTCAACAATGGGGAAAGAAATGACAGAAATTGGGCAAAGTAAAAAGCATATTGCCTAATGCCGAATAACCAAATCAAAACTAATCGAGCAGAAGTTACTGCAACTGTTTCGGCTGACTGCCGCAGCAGGTGGTGGCGGCTGCCTGGTGGCTTGCTGGACAGTGGCTGGTTGCCCGCAGTGAAAATGGTTTTAAATTGGCGCCTGATTGTCTTTCAAGTTGGCTTACACTTGTGGCCTTGCCACTGGTCACGGACTCGCCTTTTGGCTTTCAACCATTTTGCGACTCCAAATTTAATCAAGCGCACAAATTTTAGCACGTACGTTTTTCTATTTCTATCTCTATGATATTCAATGGGAGGTAGCACATCTTTGCAGCTACTGCTGGCACAGCTGTTGGTCACATGTGGTGACTCTCCACGCTCCCACGCCCCCACAGCCCGGCTCCTAGCACTCTTTCAGTGTGAATGGGCGTGAAACGGGCTCTGTCCACAATTTGGACGGGCAACAGTTGCCAAAGACTGCGACCCTTTTGTCATTGTTGTTGCTCGCGCTCAGGCAGTCGCTTCATTAAACATATTCTTCGTTGTTAGAGTTGTTGTTGTTATTGTTGTTGTTGTCGTTAAGGAACTCCAGCTGTGCGGCATTGTGTAAAAATTGCATTTGAAGTTTCTGTCTGTGGATTACACTGACAGAAAATTACAAATTATAATTCGGATGATGAATTAATATTCATATGTGCAATTTTATTATAATTATTCCACATATTAATATAATATAATATATATTAATAAAATATTAATTTATACGTGCCTAATTTTGAATAGGTTCTTATTTAAAAAGATGAATTAAGATGAATTATAGTTAATTGCATTCTTATAGTTAAAATTTGGGGCTTTTATCGACTCAAATAGTTATCTCAAAAGGCTTTAGATGCATATAATGAGTCTAGAAATTAAAAAAAGATCCTTGAGCTTCGATTTACTTGAAAATCTGAATCGAAAAAACGTGAAAGGAATGCCAAGTTTTTTTTTTAATTTAAAATGTTTACATTTTTGTTCGAAATATGTTTTTATTATGGTATAAGAACTGCAAATTTAATGCACACTTTGTTGCCATTGGTTGGCAGTTGGCAAATAAGTTTTTGACACAAATGCTGACCGTCACGTTGATTTCTCTAGCAATTTGTTGTGGTGCAGACCACATACGCACGTGCCGTCCACCTTCTGGAACCGCACGCAGACAAGCTGCCCGTGCTGCTGCCCCTAATTCGACCACATGCAACAATATGTTGCAATTTCTGTTAATTTTGTTATTGAGACACGTTCGCACGAATTGCGTCACAGCTTGTGAAGAATTCGGCCAGCGCTCAAATGCAGCAGCAGCAGTGGCTTACATGTGAATTGGCTATGGGATCGGGGGAATGGCCTGATTGATGCGCCTGCTGCTATGGCCGTATTGGCGTACAAGCCACAGCAAAAGCTTGCGGTTATCATATAATTTTATAACCAAAGCCAATGGGGCTTTCAAGAAATACCAAAGCACTGGCCGGTCCTCAATAGACCACAACAAAAAGCGCATGCCATGCTCAACTGCCAAACCAACTTTAGCAAAAGACCAACCAATTTATGCATAGTTGAGGAAATATTTTATATATTATATAATTCTCGCTTTGAGATGTTGCTTGTTCAATTTCCTTTGCCTACACGCGCCACGCTACGTATGCGTAATTTTTAATTACCGCAAGCTTGAGTTTTATTTTCTACCCTACTTAACCTTACATAATTTTTATGCAATTGATTTATTGGCTAATATCAGAAAAATGGTAACTTACAGCTGATTAGTTAATCAAAGGAAGATTCAGTGTCAACTCAGAGACACAATTCACTATTTTTATTAATAAGAAAATTGATATCTAAAGAGTATTTGAATTCGATTTCACAAGCATATGCCCGCTTTTATATGGTTTGATTGAGAATTGTTTGCAGCTGGCATAGTTTTGCATAAAATCTTTGGCAATGGAGAATATTCGTACTGGTTGTTCTATCAATAAATAAAATCTGATAAATGTTAAAAAAAAACGTTCAGCATTTAGCGTGCAATTGTTTGCT